GCCATACAAGGCAGAGTCCACAGGCAAAACCACACCCACACTCACACCCAAACAACACACACCCAACATCTGTACTCAGACACACGCCCACACCCTAGGAACGGAACCCATACCGGGTTCTGGGATCTTGGAAACGGAACGCTTCTTGGGTTCCAAAGAACGTGGAACCCGCAACTTGGTTCGTGTCTTTTGAACCGTGAAATATGAATCCTGAACGCGTCGCCAGGTATGGGAATCCACACCATGCTCCGGCTTTGGAGGATCCGAATCCATACCGAGTTCCAGGCTCCTGGAAGCAGAACCCGCCAGAGAACACAATCAGAAACTGATATCCCTAGCCTCCATCCCCACCAACACCCACCCACACCCGACGCCCACGGTCACACACACTCTTCACCCACAGACCAAAACCAGCGCCGTCACCTCAACACCCACACCAAAAATCCTGTCGGTTTCCAAGAGGGAGATCCAGCTGGCATGCTTTAGTAGAATGCCGTCGGTCACCAATACTAGGATTCTATTGGTGTGCTTGTGTAGGACCATCAGCGTTCGTTACTTTAATACGATCGGATCCTATCAGATCCAATCGAATTTGAGAAGACTTTATTGAAACCGATTGTGGGATTGGTGGACCTGGGTGTGCGTATGATTTTCGATGTTATTTTCCGAACTCAACCCACGCATTGTCATCTTCACACTCACATCACTCACAACCTACCTAGACACTCAAACTTCACACCCTACACCGACACTTGAACATACACCACCACCCCTACACACAACATGACACTCACTGTCACACTCACATGCACATCGATTACCACATCACTATCAAACACTATTCTGCGGTATGACAGTGTAAATTGTTTAGAACTTATTATTCTTCCTTGTGAATTTGAGTGAAAGTAAAGACTTATCTCAATAGAAAATGCTCGTAGTTCAGTCGATACTCGTCATAGTAGCTACTCGACGCCCACATTCAATAATGCGCGATCTGATGAACTCTCCTGCCAGGCTCGAAACAAATATCATGGCAACTTGCCATGGGTGGCGAACATTTCGCACTAAGTCATTCAGAACTCCCATCATGTGTCCGGGTGTTCGGAAATTATTTTTGTCTTTAAAAAATCTTTGATGGGAGTTCGTAACCATTTTTGGACAAACATCGTTTTGAAAAAAATAGGGAGATCGGTAGAGTGTACCTGAGAATTCGAAATGGCATGCTATTTGATATATGTGATATAGTGTCCGGAGATCGGGATGAACAAGACATGGTTTTCGGAATAAAACTCTAAGAGTATTTTTTCAAAGGAAAATGTCTGAAGTTCGTAATGAAACTGACCGAGAGTTAATAATGCGATTAGCCAGAAGATCGTAACGATTTAGTTCTGATATTGGTAATGGTTGTAAAGGCTTCTCTTTCATTCTTATGATGAAGAATAGGATTCATTCATCTAGAATAATAAATAAACACATTTTTTTCTTTTAAAAGTCATGAAGTTCGTAACAAAAAGCATCTGCATGTAAGGGATAATAATGATAAATACAAGTACTTGATTTAAAATAGTAACAACAATAGAAATATTGACTGCTTGAATTCATCAGGACATTCTTTGTGTGCCATCTTAGCATAAAAACTAGTGAGCCACTTAACATCTCTCAAAGAAGTGCAAACATGAACACTGCTTTGAACAATCTGTCTTTGTTCATTAAGATTTTCCTGTAGTTTTCATTATGATCTCTAGACATTCACTATCCTATTGGCCTTAACTTTCATTACGATCTCACTATTTTTATTGTTACAATATTCCGGTCATTTTCATTCCGAACTCCAGTCAAATTTCACGGTTGTATCTGTCAAAATAGACAGTCGCTGTTCGTTACGATCCTCTGAGCAACTTTCATTACGAGCATCCCGTTTTCTTTTAATTTTGTTTGTTTTTTGTCATTCCGAACTCCCGTACATCTAATTTCGAACACTCTGTCTTTTTTCTTACGTCAGGTGACCGTGACGAACATATGTCACTGGAGATCGTAATGAAAAGTTAGTGCGAAATGTCCGTTTCCCACTTGCCACAGTCATACCAGTACCCACAGGTCATCGATAATATCAGTACCTTTGGTATTAATATCGACTGCAGATCTTTGATGGCACGTATCTAGAACTCAATAACCAGGACCCACAATGAACTTCATTATTCATTTTATTTCAATTATAGATTATTATTGTGACCAGTGAGTTACGAAACATGGCAGTCATTGATGTTTTCAAATGTTTGAAGAACATCTCGCTGAGCACGCAGTTTCTCATCTGCAGCTTCAAGTTTTTCCGTGAGTTCTTTTATGTTTGGTTCATCATTTTGACTTGCTTTTTTCAAATCTGCGATGATCTTTGATTGCTCTTTTGTAAGATCTTCTACCTTTATCCTTGCATTCTTTTTTCTTGGATCAGTACCCATGATTTGACTGATTAGAGTCTGATTAATCTGAAATGGTTCGACTTTGGTATTAAACAACTCAATAAGAGTCGAACGATAGCCAGTAATAGCTTGATACTGATAGAGGATACTATCATTGCCGTTATTATAGTCATCCCGATTGATGGACCCAGAAAAGAAGATGCCCAATTCAAAAAATGAAGCAATGTCTTTGAAATAAGAATCCTCAAGTAGTTGAGTGCAGATATTGGTGCGCTGTTCATTTTTTTTCGACTCCGAGTGTGTGACAATCAAGCAAGAATTACGCGATAATCCTGGCCCAAGAAACTCAGTCAACGTTATTAGAGATTCGATATCTTGCTGATTGATACCGCTAGTGATTGCCACGCAAAAGCAGATAAAATGAAACTTAGTGATTTCGCGATTAACGCATACTTTGATAGTTTGCAAGATCATTTCATTATCACGAATGTCAACTTCCTTGGATCCACGTTCGAAGAGACCTGGTGTATCGATGATGTTAAGTATAATACATCTGTCGGCGACATGGAACGATTCGAAGACAGGAATTTTCGTACCTGCACACAACGTCTGTTCATCGGGTACCCCTGTAGGATCTACAAGTAACGTTTTAATTGTCGATTTGCCCGCACGTGATCTTCCGATGAGCATTATATTCTTCGTTTCTGCTTGTGTCATTCTATCTTTACCATCTTTTTCGTAATGCTTTATGATCTTACTCATGTTTTCTTTACGCTTTTTCTCCGGATCGAGACGAGCAAGTTGATCAAAAAGCGACAGCTTACAATAGAAAATAGGTTAGAAAATGTAAAAATCGTAGGAGAGCACGTACTTCATCTTTCGAGTCATCCATTGTGATTAGAAGAGAGTTATGGCGTTGCGAGCGTATTTGTGTATGAGTGCAATAACTTATGATGCTGTTTTTATATGACTATGTTCGCAAATGACATTAACATCATTAAATGTTCGTTCTCATCACTTATGAAAAACCCATTAGGATCCCCTATGATACACCATCAGGAGCTTTTTCACAGCAGGACGACATAAAACCTTCGTAGGCTTTCGATAGCAGAGGACAATAACAATAGTTACAGTGAAAAGCAGCGGTGATAGTGATGAGATAGATAAGTATTTTACTCTTGTTTTCAATGTCCAAACTTTTGATTACGCTTTTCGAGTGAAGACCTTGGCCATCTTTAAGTTATTTTTATTGGTCGAAGTGGCTTGCATATCACTCAAAATTCGTTAGTCTCTATAGTTCAGTGGGGCAGTCGTTGAGCGCATATCCTCGAATGCTTGTGTTCAAGCCTCGTCGCCACGATACATAGCATTACTCTTGGCAAATCATTAACATCTCCTCATCTCAACTGTCTTGTTCATTAGCACGTTGAGTACGCTATAACATGCTAATGCACACAATTCGAATTTCCACCATCGGAAGACGTTTTTGGGCATAGTCGAGTTAACACCGTCTTTGTAATGAATTTTTAACACTGTATCCGAGAAAACTTAATTTCATTAGCTGTGGAACAAAGCAAAGAACAAAGCTTTGTATATTTTTCAAAATATATTCATTTTCTCGAAAAACATTGAAAACTGGAAGTTATTCTTCTCTCGACCTGTTAGAAGAACTCGCGCAAGCTGAAAAAAACTTATTCATGATCAGCATCTCAGATTTTGAGAAATTATCTGGTGGAAAGCATGACAATTACTCTTGCCAATCTAGCTGCTGGTGACTATTGTCGGCGCCAAAATATAAGGTGGGTGGCTGTTTCATGAATAACTTTCGATAGGAAAGAGATACAGACTCGCGGTTTCCAATGTTCGATAGCCAAGGCCCAGGGGCATCTTTCTTCAAGCAAAGAGTTTCCTGAGGCGGTCCTTCAAATGGGGTTTTCAGAGGATCACTGAAAAACTACGCTGAATTTCCGAAAATTGACATGTAAACCTGTTGATATTTTTACATACTCGTAATCAGCATCAAAAGACGAATCGATCCATATAGGTTTCGAAAACTTTCGAGGATATTTTTTTTCGTCGATTTCTGGAGCCCAAGAGGTGCCTCAAATAATGAGGTCCGTGAAAATACCGTTTTTATTGTTTAACTATTCACCATTTTGCTTTTTGACGTCATGTTACGTATTTTAGAGTTGTTTTAAACTTTTCAACTGATTTTTGACCCATTTCAGTTCATGAGGCACCCCTTGCACTCCAGAAATCGACGAAAAAAAATATCCTCGAAAATTTTCGAAACCTACATGGATCGATTCGTCTTTTAATGCTGATTACGAGTATGTAANTTTTTTTTTGGAAAAAAACTCATAATCTCCCCGTTTTTAAATTATAGTGTTCCCCCCCCCCCCCCCCCCCTGGAATAATATTTTTTCCAACCGTGTAGAGAATGAATGCTTAATAAAATTAATAAATATATTAGCTTCTATAAGTTAAATATGGCGATATTGATTAAGATATCGATTCTAGCATAGTGTGCGAGATGAGAAAACATAGAATGCGATTCAAAGGAAGATTAAACATGCGTTATTATATAAACATACTTTGCTTCTTATTTTTATTATCTTCATTATTATTTGATAGAATAGTTTTCCAATCGATACGATTTTTTTCTTGATAGTTTTTATATCTTTTTGTATCATTTTTATTAATTAGTATTAAATCAATAGTTTGATTTGAACTTGCTAATCTTTGAATAAGTACTTTAATATTACTATGTTTCATTCGTTCAACATTCTTTTTATTAACAAATAAAATCACATCATTATTACGTAAACCACTATTATAAGCTGAAGAATTAATTTCAACAGAATTAATTATATGAAAATTGTTTTTATAACATAATAAAAAACCCAATGTTGTATTAACGGATTCTTTTTTTATAAAACAATGCTTTATATAAACTGAACCTTGTTTATCAGTAAATAGAACATTTTTTAATTCATTTGATAAATGTTCGGATTGTTTTTGTTCTTTAGACTCATTATTTGATGATGATGTCATTTTATTTTGATTACATTTAGTCATTTCAATTAATTTTAAATATTTTGGTTCATGACTAACTGTTAATTGTACTGCTGTTTTATCTAACATCATACATCGAACATCTTCATGTTTAGTATTTGCTACATCTAAACCGTTAACAGTTAAAATACGATCACCATCACGTAAACCAGATTCGTAAGCTATTGATAATGACTGAACATTACTTATAAAATGTACTTGAGTTTGATCATTATCAGGTAAAAATGAATTAATATCGAATCCTAGTGCTTCTTTTAATACAATATAACGAATTTTTTTTTTATTAGTATCATCGAATTGAAAATTTGCATGTTCTTCATGTATTGGTTGATTTTTATTTTTATATTCAGTTAAATTTGATAAACTACCTGATAATACAATATTTGTATTATCAGGTATATTATTTGTTGTTAATACAGATGTCTGTTGATTATCAACGATCGGTAACGATGTTGCTGGTTTCTTTCGAGCAATGGGCATATTAAGAAAATCTTCACTATTTAATAATCGATGAATGTCTTGTTAAACTTCATACAAATTGATTAAATGTATATTATTATCTTCAACTTTAAGATCAGATATATCAGTTCTTGTTTCTTCCACTATAACTATTATAATATATATTGTAATGGATTGTTTGTTTATTTAATTTAAAACTAATTAGAATCTTTTGATATGATTGTATTAGTTTATACTATGTAATTCATAAGAATGATAGGGTTGTTCTGACACTGACAATGTGACTAAAACTGGAAAAAAAGAGAAGAGAAAGAAGTTAAACCATTGAATTCCAAAGTGACAATAGACAAAAAAAAATTAAAATATCGAAATAGACAGCATTCATTTGTTAGTATATGGATCACATTATAGGTGACTTGTGTATGTATGGGCCATTGAGTCTGATTTCCTACTGATGATAACGAACTTGGATAATTTTCGATATGTTGGTTATTATGCATGTAACTTATGTGCATCATTCGAAGTATCATCATCATCATCAGGTATTTAAAATATACTAGAGATAAATAAATATTCTGTTTGCGTATAAGCATTGAAATACTCTATATATTTAGTATGAACTATTGTCTCTGTATTAATTGATAGAATTACTGGTTTTTTTTTCTATCAAAGTGTAAACTTGTTGAAGTGATGGGTCATTTTTAGTTATGTTTTAGACTAGAATTTTATTTATTTTCTACATCAATCGATGCGTTCTTCAATTTCAAAATATCTGATATAGATATTTGCATCGGACTACAAAGTAATTTTTCCTTTTCTGTCATTTGTATATTCATTAATGATATTGCATGAAATTTTAGTAAGAACCTAATCAGTTGATTAGTCTTTGTGAGACTTTTTTGATACTAGGAACAGGCAATCGTTATTAACATCCGTAAATACAGTCAGAGGTAAATACTTTCTTCATTCAAAGCACTCATTCCTTGTATGCAGCTCATAAACGTATGTTTAGTTCCTTTAGCTTAATAATAATGTATTCTAATGAAATTCTAATAAAATTATCATGAATAAAACTTACCTAAATGAAGATTGGATTGAAATACAGAAGAATTATCTGAAAGTATAAATTGTATAAAATTAAGATTGTTATTTTCTCTAGGTAAAATAGTGAAAAAAAACTGCTTTCTAATGATATTCTGTATTGATACCTTTCGATTGTTTTCCAGTATGAATTTTAAGAAAAATTATTGATGTTTTTTTTTTAGTAATTCTACTTGTATAAATTTCCATAAAATGAACTAGTAGATTAGTAAATCTAATCATCAATTGAAAAGAAAAAAAATGGTTTTTTGAAACATCAATTAGTATGATAACAAATTTCTTCTGTTCAAGTGAACACCACTTGAATATCGCCAAGTTAGTAAGCATTATTGAAAAAGAATTTCAAACGAAGTAAAGTTCATGCAATTAGTAAGTGTTAGACTATATTTATTTTTAGTGAATAAATATAGTTAGAATTGTACTTTATTTCTTTATCAAAAAAGACAAAAAAACTAAAAAGAAAAGCTTGACATTCTTATACATAATAATAATATAGAAATAATATTTAAGAAGAAAATAAAGAATGAACAAACCATGTTTCCAAACGCTGCATGTAGGTGATGATTGAACAGATGTAATAGATATAACATTTAGAATATTTTCTTTATGTTTTAATGATAGTGAAGTAGTATTAATAATATGATTCCTTCTCACTAATAAATTCTGACTTAAAAATGCTTTAAATGAATTCTGATACTATCCAACAGATGATAGTAATTGAACTGTACGTTGTTCATTATCATCAGGAAAGACTGATACTTGAAATATACGATGAAATTCGATATGTCTGTTGTATTAAAGTGTAAGTGTCGATGTCAGTGGTTTTTGATTATTTATAATTATATTCCCGATAAAGTTGTTCAAGTGTTTATGTAGCTGTTAGAATAGATAAATCATTTTTTTTTAGTTAACTTTGTTGGTGAAAATATTTTATCATTTGTATTCAATGTTAAATGATTATCGGATGATTTAAGTAAAATAAGATTTTTAGTAGCAAGAAAATCAAGTTTTGTTTGATTACACCTTTTTTTTCTAGATAAAATATAAGCGATTTTCAACTAGAAAAAATTCACCATTGTTTATATCCTCTCTACATCTATAACTCTAAAACCACAATTACAATTTCTGTTATGATATATACAGTTTTATGACAATTTGTTGTCTACAGTACCACATTCTTAATAGTAGGACTATACATGTAGACAGAATATCAAAAATGGTAAATTTTTCTAGTTGGGCATTGCTGTCAGCTTTTGAATTTGTTGATTAGTAATAGAAGGAATGCTTTTACAATTAGGAATGCAGCAGTGATTGTGATCCAATGGGGGAAAAGCGAGACTTCAAGAGTACGTACTTCACTCGTACTTCAAAAAACTGAAATCTCGCTTTTTTCCCCTTGCAGTGATCACTGGTACCACCATAGATCGGTGCTCTAGTCTAAACATGCAAATATAGAATAACGATAAAGACGGTGAATACACGATAAAACTACGGTGATCTTAGGTTCATTTCGATTAGGGAAGGTTTTGTTTCAAAAATATTTTGACAAACTTTCTATAGATTTACACACCTGAACTTCGAAAACCTTTAGTCTATATTTATAAAATTCAGCTATTTTTGTCCAATGACCTCCTCAACTGAAAATAATCGAAATTAATCTAAAATCACAATAGTTTTCTCATGCGTTCACTTTTATAGTCTATACTAAGATGTTAAGACCAGTACAAAGCTGTACATCGGAGTGGTGCACCGTCACCGTTGCATCCCTATTAATATTCTAGTTGAACTTCAGTTTTTTAACATCTTGTTAAATGTTATGACATCATGCTCTTTATCTTCATTATTATTGCTGATGAAATCAGTAGTGAAAACTTATTAGGTAGAAAATGAATATTTATCTTTTTTGAAAAAATATCATTCTTGTGTAAAAAAAAACCAACAATTTATCTACCTGAATCAGATGATAATTCATTAAGATTGTCAAATGTATCATGAGATAAACTTAGTATCATTGTTTAAGCATAATAATTTGTTAAATGTCATTGATTATTAAAAATTTTTGTTTGTACTTTCATTAAACTTCGATGTTTCTATTCGAATACAATTATCATTATTTTCATCGATATTTATTTTGATAACGTTGAGCTAATTTAGCGCTATTTGGATCAAGAACTAAAAAAAAACGTATTTGATTTTCTTCAAATAAATGTTGAATAAATGAAAGAATAACAGCAAAATCATCATTTTTTATTAAATACCCATGAACAGCGAGAACTCTATCTTCACGTGAAAGCTCTCCATTTTCAGCTGAACTATTGGATTCAACATTATCAATACATCAACCAAATGAATATTTATTACGACTAAAATAATTACCATAATGTAACATATTGAATAATTTACTTCTTAATTTTTAAAAAGAAAATTTTTATACCATCATAATAAATCCCTTTATGAAATGTATAAAAAGGAAAATGAATAATTATTGAGTGTTAGCTGAAAATGTTGTTAATAACGATAACACCTTGATTGATTTCTATCAATATATATCATATATTGTTGTGATCAGATGATATTTTTAGCAATTTGTGTCTATATTAATCAGTTAACAAATGAAAACATGAATATAAAAAAAATTTAAGTTTTTTAAGATCATATATTCTCTCTCGACACATATGAAAATAAATATAATATAGTAATGGTTATATATGTAAAAACTTCTTCGTGTCTATTTTTAACCATCATAGTGATCTAGTCAATATTATTAAAAAAAAAAACAGGCCAGAAAAGTAATTCGAATAAATTACGCTATGCAATCATATAATTTGTAATTTTTCTTGAAAAACTGTAAGCATGATTCATGAAAAATATTTGATAGTCACCAGAGGTGTTTCAAAATCAGAGTTGAGCATAAAGTCACATATGTTCATTCGTGATTAAAGTTATGTGAATCGACTGATTTTTTTTAGAAAAGATATCATCGTGAAGTTTTTATTTATAGGTATAAGTTTTGAGTAAAGTACGAAAATTTAGTCTTTTACTAATCTACAAACATTATTATACACGAGATTTTTCACGATGCTTTGTTTTTATTGCGTTTATGGTATCGTTTTATAAACATTTGTTTTGACAGATCATTACGAAATTGGAGTGATTTGCATCAAGCGCTAGAGATCCTTCTACATTTGTAACTAATAACGAATAAACAGGAAGAAGTCGACTAATCTAAACTGCTTCAAAATTGTCATTTTTCACATTTATTCACCTTCGTTTTACGTAATCCTTGTATTTTATCAAAAAAAAACCCGGTAACTTTGACTAGCATTTGCAAACTTTGTTAGTGATATCTATTATATATGCAACAAAATTCCGTAGTTGGCTAATTCTGATTACTCATGCAACTTTACAAAAATACTTCTCTTTTTTTCACTTCCGCATGTTCGTTGACCTTAAAAATCTATTTCGAAATGGACGTTGATAAAAAAAAAACAATTGATTAATCATATAGATCACAGACAATATAGTTCACTTGTCTATCTACATGCATAATTCACTATTCTTCAATATAAATATGTAGCATTCTCTGAATCATTTAATCTGAAAAGTAAAATTAGAATAACTGAACAAATACGCTCGGATAATCTTCTGTTGTTTTTTTTTCTTCATGTTAGTGACGTTACTCTATAAATTATTCTGTCATGTCGATAAATTTCTATTTAAATTTTCTTCACTTTTCTCTTCATATATTTTCAAATATCTGAACGAAAAGTATTTACCTTAGAATGAAGAATAGTAACAATACTGTATAAAATATCTTCAATATTAATTTTTCATCGTCAAATAAACGAAAAAAAAAATTGTTGTTAGCTATGTATGACTTTTTTCTTTTCTTTTTTGAAATGAATGAAGAACAAAATAAATACCTTCCTATTCATCTATACATGTACAGTGTTTTGCTCGAATAACAATATGCATATATTTTAGTGGCAGTAAAGATGGCAAAAGAAAATAAAGTATTAGAAAGAAGAAGAATAAAAAGAGGTGAAGTTTCTTGATGGAATGAATAAAAACAAAAAAATCATTTCATTTGATTGTTTCATCTTTATTACTATCATTAGCATAACTTCAACATGATCAAAGTGTTAATATTCATGATGATGAAGTTGTCGATGAAATATTTATCACTATCATTCAAATGTCTTTCTTATTCTAACCTTTATTTTGTTTTGATATTAGACAGAGATATAACACGCATTAATATAAGCACATACACTCATACATGTACGAATAAACAACGAAACAATGAGATTTGTCTCAATACTATTTTGCGTAATTTTGTTATGCGTTGTTTTTCTATTTCATATAGTTTTATTTGCTTTTGACTAATATTATATAACCCATAACTAATTGAAATGATTGAATAATTTTATAAATCATAAACAATTTCATAATCATGTATCAATGTCAGTTTCCTAAATTGAACCCTATATGATTGATAAATTGCAAGTGTATGTATATGTGATTCATATGTATCAACGACAAATAATGTTTCTATCAAGATCTCTTAGTTCATCTTTTGCATATATGGTTTGCTCTTAATTAATGATACTCAACTCGGTTTACTGTTCCGATTCGCACCTAATCCATTATCAATGAAGAAGACTAGTTAGAAATAGAAATACTTTGGTATCATAAAGATTTATTTGTTTATAATTAAACTGTAAAATCGAGTATTAGAATCTATTATTATTATTTTTTTAAACTGTGTCTTTTCACAGCTCGAATGCATTTTATGGCTTTCATCATGAATCATTTTGCGTCATCGTAAATAACGTTGATTTCTTTCGGTGACATGATGTTGATATTCATATTCAGCCTCTAGTAGATTGTTTGTTCGAAGAAGATGACGGACAATTAGAGACGAACCGGTGATGAATCTCTATATCGTATAAATAATGATAAAATGACGAGTAACAAACATTATCAAATTATTTTTTCTTATTATACATAGAATTAATTAGTTTGTGAGCATTTTATTTCAACAAGAGCGTTCTTATTTAGTCTTTCAATACCATTTTTGATATACATTCAATAGATGAAAATGAAATTCAGCTAGCTTTTAAGATAACCAATTAAATATTCATGGTATCGTTTCAAAGTAGTAGACGTATTTTAGTGATAGCAATATACAGTGTATTTGTCTTTGTCTACTTGATTGTTAATACTTTCATTGAATGAACTTTTCTTATATTGCTTGTCGAGAAAAATACTTCTGCTTTTCCTGTAATAGAAATTGTATCAGCCTGCGTATATGTGTCTCTCATGTACTTACATCTGATTACCGGATTATTAGTGGTCTTTTTTGCCTTTCGAGACACTATATATGTGGTTCATTGAAAGTGAGAAGAATAAGCATTGTTTATGTAAGGCTTTTGCTGTTACTTTGTTTATATGTACAATAATAGCATATAAATGAATTTGTTCGGTCATCTTAACAAAAATGAAAGAAGGTCAGAACATTCTATCTCTCTTTACTGTACACATATGGCGTGCATTGATCATTTGAGGACAATAACATACAGATTTGCTTATAAAGAGTTATTTTTCGTGCTTGGCAGAGCAAAGCAATATTTGCTTTTAGTTAAATCAATAAAGATCATAGATAGACAAAAGTCATTATCTATAATTTTAATCACTCAAACCTTTAAGAACCGATTGAAGATTTTTAACGATGAGAAAAAATAGATTGCTAAAATAGAGATTCAGAACACTCATTATGATCATATTATAGGTAAAACAAGATAAAGTTGTCTTCTTACAGAGATACAAAATGTCCATAAGAAGGAACATTCGATCTTACCGTTATGAATGTATAACTTTTCTTAATTTATGTGGGAAAATTTTTTCTCACAAATAATTGTATTTATTTATTTCATATAAGACTAAGAATCAACTGAATAGAATATTTGCAATTTTTTAACACTTCTGCATTTTTTCTTTCATCATCACACTATCTTATGATTCCAGACAGATATCACAAAAACAATCTTATGATTTCGCTAGTAATCTTAGCTCACCGATAAACGGCCTACTGAATACTCTCCAAGCATAGCATCAGGATCATCGCGAAGTGTTTAGAATAGGAGTGTAACTCCGCCACAAGAGGAAAGAAATGTTTGAGTAATCGGAAGTTTTTATGAAGTCTACAATTGCAATTACAGCTATATTACTTGAAAAGGAGATTCAACTTTTACGAGTTAATATGAAAATTATGTAAAACTTCATGTCGAAACGGTGACTTTGTGATAATGAAGCATGAATCATAAATCAATTCTACTTTATTTGACTCGTATATATACGGATATTTGATGTATAAACGCTTTTATAGTAGGATCATGAGTTCAACACAAGCAAAAATAACGATAATTTTCGTTTTTAAAAGTTTGATCTCATTAAAACAATTTTATAAAGCAATAAAATTTCTGCATTTATCTTTACAAAACTTGCATTTAGTTAATTAAATACAAGAAATTTTTCATATTGAATATTTATTTCAATTACAATATCTATTTCTTGTTTTAAACTAATACAGAAGAAGTTTAAAGAACAAATAATGTTATTTAACAGTTCATTTATATTAAAGTTTCACACCTTTACATGCTTCTTGAATACTTCGAGCAGTATCAGTAAAGCCAACTTTTGTATCAGACCCATCATTAAGTGTACCTGCTTCACCACGAGGTGCATAAATTAAATTTTCTTTACGTAAATTAGTAGCGAGACATTTAACTTCTGGAACTTTTTCACCTTCCTCTACAAGTATAGAACACATTAATATAATATTTTTTTTTTTTTTTTCAAATTATAATTAAACTTACTAGCAAGACACATATCATTACAAATTAATTTTTTTCCAGTCTTATCCATAATAATAAATTTAAGTTGTTTACCAACATTAGCTGCAGTAAATCTTAATGCTTTTGATGGATCTTGTACTGGTTCATAAGAACCTCTAATAGATAATTTAATATTGCATTGCTTAGCAATATTATCAATAGTTTTTAATGTTGGAGCAAACTCTTTATGTATATGAATAATATCGCCAATGAGATTTTTTCCTTTACCCTTAACAATCATACATTTTTCTAAATAAATAAATGAAATAAAGTAAATCAATTAATTATATCGGATTATAAATTACCTTTCTTAGGTGCTTTAGTTTGTGCAGATGTACCATCCTTTTTTTTTTGAAGAAAACCTTCAGTATAGAGAATACTAATAACAAGAAATAATGATACAATATTGATTGACTTCATTGCTGAATGATGTGAATAAAAATATTGCTTGTCTTTATATAGTTCGATGCTTCTCTGTGTGAAATGTATGCTCCACTGACAAGATAAGGCTATACTTGTGTTTCTTAATGAAGATTCTTATTTTACTCATTTTAATTGGAATCGAGAGAATATGATAGCATCAAAAATGAAATCAGCAACACTTGTCATGATCACATGTAAATGCAAGCATATTTTATGGTTATAGTTGTTATTGAAGGCTCCCCTCCCCCCTCAAAAATCGATCTCAGCCCAGGAACATTCAAATTAAATGAAACTTTCAGGATATGTTGGGGCTAGAAACAGGAGACTACCATAAAATTTTCAGCCCGAAATCTTCAAGTTTCAGGGAGATATGAACTAAACAAGGGTCAAAAATGACTCTTGAGGCATCCCAAATTTTTCGGTCCTGGTTCGTTCAATATATTATTTTTTTTTGTTGGAAAGAGCATCTCAAGCTGCAGGGCATGATGGGATCCTTTTTTAAGTGCAAAAAAAGGGTTCACAAGTTCAATGACTGAAAAAAACTATCAAAAAATGGTAACCAAATCATATAACTGGCTGTATATTGACTAAACAAAGACCTAATTAAAAAGAAGAGCCTCATCATGCCCTGTGCCTTGAGACAGTCTTTCAAACAAACAAAAATATTAATGCACTGAATGAATCAGGAAGGAGAAATTTGGGATGCGCTTTTGAGAAAGCGGAAACTGAGAAAAAATGAAAAACATTTTTTGATTTTTCAAAAAAAACAGCGGATTTTTCAAATAGGAGTTGACGGAAATCTTGAAAATTTTTTGGGAAAAATGAAGTAACGAGAAAAGCAAATTATCGTTTATGAAAGAGCCGATGACGGGCTATCTCCCCATGTATTTATCTCAATTTTGGAATTTTTGACGAAAATTTACTTTTTCTGAGGGAGAGCCTTAATAAAAGATAAGATTTTTCGATCTAAGACTTTAGTAATAATATGCGCAATCTTGATTTATCGATTATATGCACCTCATGAATTAATTGCTGATAGATCAGAAACACTTAAGTGAAAATAGATGTGACGCACTGTTTTAAATAAATTTCATCATTACACGTTAGACTTTCGTAATTTTGTCAGACAAACATGTTATTACACAATTACAAAAAATTGTATTGCATTTTGCTTACAAAGATCCAGTATCATAAAAAAGATATTTCAAAATAAAACATACGTTGCTAAGAAATAAAATTAATTCATCGTCAAATGAACGGTTGAGCTTATCTATTATATTCTTGGCACTTTCGATAAATCAACAATTTCTTTTCACCTCTCAACATTTGCCAACGATTGAATACAATCGTTAACAACTATTTTAGATATCAAATAAGCTTCGTATTCATTTTGGATTTCAATTTTTATTCTTGTTCAACTTATTTTCTATTTCATCAGACATTACTCATTTCTTATAGGTTAAAACATTAAAATCATTCATATTGTCTTTTTGTATCGAATCTTATAGTCTCTGAAAGAATATCTATTCTTGTTTTTTAACTTTGAATATTGGAATAATTTGCAACATGACCATTATTAAACACCTTAATTTCTCTTAGATTTTTAACTAAGCAATTATTTTCTTTCAAACAAAACTCAGTTAGTAAACTATTCTAACCTTTATTATATTTTCATTAAATATTTATCAGCAAACATGTGCTGATCTTCTGCATGATTATTATTAAAGTTATGATATGAAAACTAAACTTAAGCATGCCTATGATATTTATCATGGTATTGAACTTTTCGAATGAATAATGTAGAAAATAAAAGTTCGAATTCTTATCTAATACATTACAATACAATACTGTAAGACAATTTTTCTGTTTTATCTATTTATATGTTTAACAAATACATTAAATAATAATAGAGTAAAGTCAGCGTTCTATTCATCTATGTAATATACTTGTTTGATCATTTAACACAGACACCGATTACACTGAATCATGAACGTATAGTAGTTTCAACACAAACAAGGAATAAAAATCGATTCTGAAGAAATGACAGTATCTAACAAATGCATTACAAACGAATACAATAAGATAAATTTTCTCTCAATTTTTTTTGGTACTTAACTGTATCATTCTTTACAAACACTCAAAATACTAAATCTCACAAAAAAAGAACAGAATCATAGTCCAGAGAACCCAATATTTAGCTAATAAATTACAAAATAATACACAAATATTTGATATTAATCACTCTTGTTTCTTGTTGACGATAATCTTGGTTCTGAAGGTGTATAATATTTTGTTGATATACTAGTAATTAATATAGTGATGTAAGACTTCTACATAGACACTTCTTATACGCCATCTTCAATCAAATGAGATTGGTTCAAAAGGTGCACAATATCTAATTGATATTATACAAAATAATAAAATGAAATAAATTTTCTCTTCATTTATCTCCTATTTACCTCTGTCGTTTAATACAGAGATTAGAAGAACTTGATCTTCGATATAATGGAATTAACTATCGATTGGCACGATCACTAGATGACTCATTACACCAATAAGAAAATAAAAATGCGTTTTCGATAAAAAAAAATGATCCAGAAGTATCTATGATACAAGCTTCTACTAATATGATACTGTGTTCTTGTTAAAAACTCTTCAATTTTTCTTGCCATAAAATGTTGATAGTAAAAAAATTAACCAATAATAGCATAAGATCTTTTACTATAATGTAGTTCCATTTCATCGGAAGCCTTTCCTCTACGTAGTAATACATGATTTCTGTTTCACTGGTTTTTTATTTAAAATTCATTATGGACATTTCTAAAAAAAAACAAAAGTTCTAATATACAAGCATTTTTCTTGGAAGCGCTTGTTTTGTTTTTCTTTGAATGAGAACTATAAAATTTAGAGAACCAAAAGTTTATATGCAATATATAATATTTTAGGTTAATAATAAGGCCGTGACCACAATTCAATTCTTTATCGATTTTCAAGTTCATCAAATTCATGAAACGTTGAATAATACATATTTTATTTTTTTATGTAATCTTATGAGACTCTTTTGATTTTATTGCATTAGAATAACTAGATAACACTCAAAACAAGATAAATTATAACTGAAAAATATTTAGAATTCTTCAATTCCTTAACTTGCATCATTTTGTAATATTATATTGAGTACTATTTGTAAAATGAGCATTGGAAGTTTATCAAAGTTTTATAAAGATAAAATTATGTGTTTTCATTTCTTATTTTATGTATGCGGCTGCTTGTTTTTATTTATTGATGATATAGAAAAAACGGCAAAGAAAAAAAATCATCGTTAACGATGAAAAAAAAACGACATAAAAGACACAACGAATATTATTTATGTCCAATACTCGTCTTTTTTAAACGAAATATTTTATTTCTTTTTTGGTTGTGTTTGTTGAGGTTGTGCTTGTGTTTTTTGTTGTTGTTGTTGTTTCTTTTCTTGTTTAGTACTTGGTTTTTTTTGTGCTGGTTGTGATTGTGTTGCTGGTACTGGAGCTGGTGCTGGTGCTACAACAGCTGTTTGAGCTTGTTGTTGAATAGCTTGTTGAACAGCTACATTTGTATCGTCATCGTCTTGTTTACCCAAAAGTTCAGTACGTTTTTGAAGAATACGTTGTTCACGTCGAGTACGTTTTTCTTTTGTACGTTCACGACGAGCAACAGCTTGATCAGAAAGCATCTTAGTACGTTGTACTTCAGCTTTCTTCTTATGAATAAATTCCATTAATACACGTTTGTTTTTGAAGACATTACCCTTGCATTTCAAATAGAGTTCATGATATCTGAAATAAAATAATTTCATTGATCTGTTTATTCTATGCAATAAATAACTTACAAATGACGATCAATTTTTTTAGCTGCACGATATTTTTTCAATAAACGACGTAAAACACGCATACGACGGATCCAAAGGATCTGAATTTTAGAACAAGTAATAAATTGAAGTGAACAAAAATACAGACGTTTTACTAACCTTAGTTGGCATACGTGCATTGGCAGTACCTTTTCGTTTACCATGACCCATATGTCGACCTTTACGACGAGCTTCATTATTTTTACGTGTACGAAAACGTGAATGTACTGCAACTGGTTTTTTTATAATTAAACCATCTTTAATTAATTTACGTACACTTTGGCCTAAACAAAGAGAAAAAAAATAAAATCATTAGTATTAGTCAATAATAATAAATCTTGTTCAATTTATTTGTTTATTGTCGATATTAAATATATGAAAATCAACAAAAGAATAAGACAAATAAAATTGAAAATTTATAATTTCCCCTTCCCGTGTATCGATCAATGTTATAGGCGTAATAAAAAATTATTTACTTCAAAGATCGATGATTGTTGAAGGGCTATGAAGAAAGATTTTTATGAAAAATAACTTACGAGTGTTGGCATTGGCAATTTCATTGGCTTCATTTGGATCAAGCCAGATTTTTTTATTACCACATCGTAAGATTGATGAAGCGAGCCGCTTTTGTACTCGGAGCGAACTAATGTAAGCAAAAAAATCAATTAAGTTTACCGAATGAATTTATCTTAATTTTCTACCTCATTTTTTTTCAATATGATGAATCTGTTATATGTTTTTTCTCGAAAAGCACCAATTTCGTAAGTTTGAACAGGGTCGTGACACAAAATTTTTCCAAAAAATTCATTGGTCCGACATTATATTATTATATGGATTGCTGCAATTCTGGAGGATTCAAAAAAATGATATTATTTTAAAACATTTTAATATTTTTACATTAGTTTATTGATATTTATATAAATTCAGAACGAATTTTTTATTCAAATAAATTAATTATTTTTTAATTTTTTTGAAACTATTTTTCATTGGTCGAAATTTCACCGATAATAATAAATAAGATAGAGGTGAGGTGAGAGGTGAAAAGATATAGTAGTATCATTTCTGAATAATGAAATCAGTAAATGACGCTACAGAATAGAAAAAGAATTGAAAGCTTTAATTTTTTCAATTTTCATCAAGTGAAAAAAGAAAAATAGTCTTATTTGAATTGAGACGAAATAGATTGAACATCTTGTTCAAGTTAGATGGAATAATTTTCTCATATGCGAAACTTATTCTGTAAATTGTCGACGTTAATATTTCGGATTTGTAGTAATCCTGATGCTTTTTATGCTTTCAATAATAAACTCTATTAATGCCAGATGAAATTGAAGAGATCATAATCAATCGATGATTATTTCTGTCGAAGTATCAGTGTTTTAATGAATCATATATAGTTTCAGAAAAATTGTTTTATTGCGTGATAGAAAATGTTGACTACTGTATAAAATTCGACTGCACAAAATTGTTCTTATCGAATTCCCCTTCTGTATCTATTCACAGTTTTGTTGTATGAATCATGTACTTGTTGATAATCGATATTGTATGAATTAGCTGCTGGAATTGAAGTATCATTACTTGTCAAACAAAGATCGTTCATGTTGATTTCGTGTAAAATACTAGAGCGATTTTCAGTGCTATTTTATGATAGCTTTAAAATTATTTTTTCACTCTCAACACAGTGAGCCTATAAAAATATTAATTCCTATTAATTAGAAAACAATACCCGATGAAAAAATAAAAACCTAAATAATTTGTTTTTCATTGAAAATCTCTGAGAGGGATCTTAATTCTGAATTTTTATTAACAAATGTTTATTTTGGAGAGCTGGCAAACTATATAATATTCAATAGTTTCTCGTGTCAATTCTGAATCTGCTGTTCGTTTTGTCTAAAAGTGCTTTTAAGGCGAGCAAGTTCTGATAAACTCTAAAAGTTTGAGAAAACGAAGATTTTTCGAAAAGCTTATATCTCAGTCCGGATGGATTTGTATATAAATAATAAGAGTTTCATATCGAGAAGAGTTATCTCTGGAAAAATGTTCTTAAGTTGTGGCGAAAGCTTTTCCAGTAAACTGAGGAGTCGAAACAAAATCTTTCCCTTCATTTAATTGGTCATGAACCAAAGTATACTCTACATTATTCAAACCAGTAGCTTCTCAAAAGAGATAATTTTTCGAATAATATGCAACTACTTAATGATTGAATAGCTAATAATTCATGTAACTAAATACTTAAAGTCTAGGGCTATTTTAAAGATTTAATAGCTACTTTGAAAAAATTATACGACTAGTGAATGATTTAAATAGCTGATTTATTTCTAAGAAAAATTTTTATTGTATTTCTTCGTGTAACTAGCTGTTGAACATCTACTATGATTTAAACATTCGCAGTAACTATTTAAACATTTTTCATAGATAGTTACTAAATGATTGAAATAGTTTTCCCTTTCATAACGGCATTTGGTTTATTAATCTGCAATGTATTATGAGCGGTTGAAGTCTAACGTTATTAAATATTATCGTAGTCATTTTTAAGATTCGTTAATTATTGAAGAAAAACGAAAAATATATATTTTAAATTGTCACACTTCAAACTTTCAAAAGCATCGATTTTTCCTTTTTTTCATCATTACTAAACAGAAATGGACGGTTTACGTCAGAAAAAAGAGTATACGGTATATTGAACACGGATATTATAATAGGTAGAAGTTTCTATCCATTATTCTTACAATTCAGAATAGTTTTCAAAAAGTTATTTTTGAATATGTTTGATATAGGTTTGCTTCTCATGTAACTCGGCGAACTCTATTCGACTATAATGCAAAAAGAAAAAAAAAAACAATTCTTCTAAAATTTTAAAGTTTGATCACATTACATAAACTACTAATCTCTTTAGATTTGTCTAAATCCATGCATGCTATTGGAGGTCGATAATTTGAAATGTTTAGTTTAGCTACGAGAGCATTCATGTTATCTGAATATGATTAATCTACTTAACATACAGTATATATCATTCAACTGTAAGTGATCCTCAAAATAAAATGCTTATTGATAAAGGATCGCTGAAGATTAAACAGTAACTCATTCAACAATTTTTTCTTTTTTTTTGCGCCCTTGCTCAAAACAAATCAGTAAGAGTAAGTGAGTGGCTGCATGTTTATTGAAGAGGTAAGAATCATTATTAAATACTGATCGAAATCTCTAAATATTCGGTGAGACTAATTGATAGAAACATGGAATCTATTGCAAATATCTTTACCATTAAAAGTCAGAAAATAACAGATCTATAAGTTACTCATATTTCTAGCTTCAATAATGATGTTGACGCTCTAAAATCGTGCTTAGATTACGTAGCTTGACAGTCAGCAATTTAGAAAATACTTAAATTGCTATGTATTGCTTCTAAGTAGCTATGAACATCTATTAAATTATCTGGAAATGTGAACAAAGTCGCTAACATGAAGAAGCTATACAATTAAGAATAATAAGAAACATAAATAATTCAATATGTATTATAATGAACTATATCTATAGAATTCACTCTTAAGTATGTCCGTTAACTCTCTCTATCAAAGTTCTCTATACAAAATTGTATCTCTTTTGAGAATGAACCATTCAAACCATCCAAAATATCACTTTCATTTTTCCAAGAAGTGTCCACCTTGTAATCCATCATGTACCATTTTTCGATATTTTCAGTTTAGATTTAAATTGTAAAAGTTTACACAATATTTATGAACACTTTGGTTTTTCATATGGAATACGAGTATTTGATATGATTTGAATTGATGTCAGTGTGGTGATATCTTTTCCGCTACTTCTCTGTCATGGTTTCTTTTTATGTCATCCTTATCAACCTCTTGTTCGTGTATAATAATGATGTGCTCCAAGTATAAAAGGTGCTGTCGATGATACGAGGAAACTTAATATAGTATTATTCCATATTTGTTGGAACTTCTTCTATCAAAAATCATAACAGTTAACAGTTCGCTTATTTTGTAAGTTAAATTACGGTAAAGTTTAACAAAAAAAAAAGACGTTCGCAATACAGATCACAATATACTATTGAAAACAGAAACTTCGTATGATGACAATGATTCTAATTACTAGATTATTTCTCATTTAAATGATATTATTTCATGCGAGAGAATTATATTATTGCATGAGGATTTTTATTGAATGATTTTTCCATTTAGTTGTTTTCATTGTATCATGGTAAAAGTTTTATTTTATTATAAGCTTTTAAAAAATAGATATTGATAAAATCTACTGACAGAACATCATCTAATGAAATAAAACTTGGGAAGAAATGCTAATCAATATCAGACACTCATGCCAGGTGGATATAAGTGTAATTCTTTCCTTCATCTCCATTTCGCATCTAAAAAAAATGATATCCACACGTTCGCACTCTCAATGGGTAGCGTTTGGTATGTTCTTTCTGTGGTTGTTGTTTGTCGAAGAAACGAGAAAACGGTGAAACTTAAAGCAATCATCAACAGCGTCGTCAAAGAAGAGAAAGAAGCCATGCTGTAGACAACGTTTGCTATTGCATTGACTGCGCGCCACGTTCGATTATAAAAAAACTAGGAAGGTATCGTTTTTTATTGTGTTTTGTTACATGGCAACGTGCTCGATTATTTGGCTCGATGCCTTAGTGAACACAAGCGAAAATCATCAACAGGCTCAACAACAATTGCGCGCTGTTACCAATCATGTAATGACATTCGAGGATTCAGAACAATGTGAGAATCATATTCGATCAGCCTCCTCCGATGAACGACTGATGCTTATTATCAGTGATGAATTGGGACGAGAATTAGTCTCACATATTTATCAATTGCCACAAATAGCATCAATCTATATCTGTTCTATTGATAAGAATCAAAATGAAGAATGGGAAAAATCATCTAATAAGGTGAAGTAGTATTTTTATGTTTGATTTATTTGTTGTTACTTTCATTTCTCGAAAAATTTTTCGGTAATATTTTTTTTAGGTTCAGGCTGTTGTCACTTCTTTCGATGAGCTTATTGATCATATTGAATCTGCTATAAAGAGACAGATATCGATAGTGCAACCGAAAACTATCAAAAGTAATTTATCATGTCCATCGATTTCAGTCGTCAATGATGATCCGTTCGATAGTCCAGTAGCTTTCATAGAGTGTTTCATTCGAATGGAATCTAGTCAAACAGAAGTCGACGATTGTATTGCATTTGGAAAGGCTGAGTACAAAAATAATCCGGCCCAATTAGCCAAGATTAAAGAGTTTCAGGAGACTTACTCATTTGAACGAGCTCTTTGGTGGTATTCACGACAATCATTCATCTATAGAATATTGATGACGGCTGTACATCAGCAAAGTATTCGTTTACTGTTCCTCCTTCGTTTTTGGATTCGGGATATTTATCGACAATTGAAGGATGCTCAATGTCATGTTCCAATGCGAGTGTATTGGGGCGGATGGAAGTCGAACGATGACTTTGATCTTCTTCAAGCATCAGTTGGCAAATTAATTTCTATCAACACATTTCTCTCAACAAGTGCAAACCGTACCGTGGCATTATCATTCTTGAAGCATTCACCAGATCATTCAAAAAAACTTCTATATGAAATTACAGTTAACCCGCAGACAATACCAAATAGACCGTTCGCTGATATCAGTTCACACTCGTTCTATCCATCTGAAAAGGAAGTCCTCTTCATGATTGGTTCTACATTTCGTATTGACAATATTTACTGCGCTGATAACGGAATATGGACAATACGTATGTCATTAGCGGCTGCCAACGAGTACAATTGGGAAATGTTCTTGCAACAGATAAAGAAAGTCTCAAAAGAAGATGGAAGACTAGACATTGTCACATATGGTAGAATTCTATGTCAAATAGGTCGATACGACAAAGCTGAAACTTACTATCAACGTCTGTTGAACGAATTTCCGCTGGACAATCACTTGTCATCGATAGTTCATTCTGAACTGCAGAAAATTTCTTCCTAAAACTGTACATATCATCGAAGCAAAAAATAGTACACGAAATCATGTGCAATCAAACTTGAGAACCTATTCTTATAACGTCAGTTATGTCAAAGAGGTTTCACAAAAGAATTGAAAAATGGGAAAACATGATATATTTTCGATTTTGAACACCCTACTATAGAGCAGTAGACTGCCTCATATCGAGCACGTAACTAGATCTTTAAAGTAGAAGGATGTCAACAAGCAAGAAAATTTATGCCCTTGCTATTTCAAAAATCGAGGCGAGGCGGACGGGTGTAACAAATTCCGTGAACCGGAACGATGAGCACGAGGAACAATAAGCACGGAAACTTAAGCACGGATACTTGAGCACAGGAACGATAAGCACGAGAACGATCAGCACCAGAAAATTGAGCACGAAACTAGGGTTTGAGTATCAGTTGGGATAAGGATCTGGCTGTGTGTGGGTGTGGGTGTGGGTAAAGAAATGCACGGCATCGAAAAAACTTTCCGTCCTGGTAAAAGATTTACGCGCTGTTTCATCAACTTCATTGTTAAAATATTGTTTAACTGCATTTTGTAGAGAAATATTTGCTCCGTCAATCTATACATTTCAAAATGTATTACAAGACTTCGTTATCAATGAATTTAACGAAACAATGACCGGGACCAATCTGGCCCCAGTCATCATATTTGCTGAATCAATTCATAAAGCATACCTGTGATATATGTTGAAATACATCTACTGACCGAGAAAACATTTTGTTTACAAAATGCGCAGTCAAACAAGACTGTATCAATGAAATTGATGAAACAGCGTATATATCTGTTATCGGTCCCAGAAAATCTTTTTTGGTCCCGTATGCATCTCTAAATGTGAGGGTTGATGTGTGAATTTGAATGAGGATGTGAGGTGTGGATGTGAGTTAGGGTGAAAATGTTGGTTGATGAGAGTGGGTTAGCTGATAATTAGCACAAACACCCATACCACCTCTCAGCCACATCCACACCCTAGTTTCGTACTCAAATTTCCGGTGCTGAACGTTCTCGTGCTTAACATTCCTCGTGCTTATCTTTCCCGTGCTGATCGTTCTCGTGCTCATCGTTCACCAATCCCTCACACCCACCCCATCCAGTGATGCTTTGAAACAATCATTTACATGATGAAGATAAATCTTAAATGCTACTTTGAGGATGTGCTTCTTTGAGCAAATTATTATTCAACTCGACACAATTACACTAGATCAAGTTGAATTATTATGAAAAAGATATTGAAAGTGAATGAACAACAGAATTTCTTTTTATTCCAATGGTTATCTCATTTTATTTAACAGATTAATTTTTGTTAGTAGTTTTCACAAAATTAAATAGAACAACGAAAGAAATTATCACAGATTTTCTTCAGTTGATAAGTCTTCATCAGATTTTGTCTAATCGAAAAACAAAGTAATGAGCAAAAAAATTTTTACCAATAATTGATCTTACTTGTTTTTTGTTTTGTATAGAATCAGTATCGTCATTTGAACGTCTTTTCTTTGTTACAGCTTTTCCTAGTGGTCCCCATCTTGCATGTGGATTACCCATAAAACGTATTAATTTATTTTTTCTAGCTTCTGATTCCCATTCAGGATGTTCAGTAAAATCTACTTGAATTGTGGATGGTTTTGTTAAAAGACGATAATAAGGTGAGTCAGTATTTAATCGTTCTGTTGCTGCACGTTTTGTTGATGATTGTTCAGCAAATGCACGCATTATATCCCAAATAATATGATGTGGTGCATTAGTTTTTATTGAATCTTGACGAGCATGAGATGTTGATACACGATAACCAGCATTTAATAAAGCTGACCTAAAAAAAAACACAAGCCAATCATTATAGTTTTATTTGACTAAACAAGTGTGATGGGCATTAATAATTACTTGATGAGTTTATTTTGTGGAATATGTGTATGCATAACACGAGCGAGTTTTGCATTATCAAAATATAATGGATTAGGTAATTCTTCTTTTACAACATATAACATGCTTAACATTCGATCTCGATAGGCATAACTTAATATATAGTAATTAATTTTAAATAAGTTTTCTATTGAATTTTTGTTACCTGTCCTCAGGTGCTTGTTCGATTGATGTAATAAGTTCATTAAGAAAAGACGGATCAAATAAAGGTCCAAGCCATATTGGACCACCCACTCGAAGACTAAATTTATATTGAAAAAAAAATAGTTTAAATTCAAACCATTCAAATTATCTTACTTCGACGCACAATGCGAACAATTCGTGCCTACTGGTGGTCCATGTGCATATTTAAATTTTGCATTACCTCGTTCATCAAGTGATGCTTGTCCATAGGGTTGAAAAAAGAAAGAAGTACAATAAACACAATTGTATACTGTTGCAATATCACCTAAACATTATTATTTGTAATGGCTATACTATTTATGAATATGACCAACCTAATTGACTCTGAGCCTTAGCAGATCCATAACCAATTCGTACAAAAAGGCGTACATAAAAATCAATAGACATACATAATAATGGTTCAATTATTCGATCATAACGAGCAGCTTGCATATGTAATGTATAAAGTATCATACGAAGAGCGAATTCATGACAAAACGGTTGATGTAACGGTATTGATCCATATTTAGAATAGCAACTGTACAAAATTTAATTTATTATTATAAAATTTAATTTTCTTTTTTTTTTCATTTTACCTGTGAGGATTATTTCCACATAATGATGCCATATCCGTAGCTAAATAAAATAAGAAAAATAAAAAATTCGAAAAAAATTCGCTGCATTACCTGTTATACAAAGAACACCATTCTTTTTAATACATTGTACTGCTCCATCTGTACAAATAATATTTGATAGGTTTATTAAAAATCAAATTAAAAGAAAAAAAAAAACCAAAGAATACTATTTACCTAAAAATTGTGCTGGTGTACCATATGGATCTAAATCTACAACATGAAATTGATCATCTATTTTTCTATGACTATATAATAAATTCATAGCATCATCATGACTTGCTTGAACAAGATTTTTTACATCATTCAATTCAATATTTTGTTTTATTGATTCAACTGCTCCGGCATCAATATCATTTGCATAGATTGTATCAATACCTGAAATTATATAATACATAAAAGATTATTAATTTGAAATGTTTTCTTTTTTCACAAACTTAGCTGATCCGCTCTAGAGGAAACATTGAATGCACAAAACGATATAGTCATTTGATAAACATACGATACAACTCTAACATTACTTGGTAGTCAAAACTTTTAAAACTGTCACTCGACTCGACTCGAAGAGTAATGAATATAGTTTAAAGTCAATAAATTTTATAAATTTCTCATTTTATTATTTAATCTAGAATAGTATGCCGGAAAATATTTGTAATGAACAAGTCAATACTAATGATATGCAATAAATATTTATAGTTTTTCTTCCAAATGTCTACACAGTATAAATACATAGATGAAAATCTTAAGGAGTATTTCATCTTTACTCCTAATAATTTGTTTTCTTTCGATCTTCATACCTGGAATTTCCCGTGCATATCGAATAGATCGTAGTCCTGTAGCTGATAATGCTTCGGCAATTTTCAATCCATTCTCTTGTCGTACACCAGCAGATAATTGATCAAATGATATACAAGTTGCATTCGGATCATTCTTTTTTATTTTTTTGCATTCATTTTCATGATGATATTTTGAAGCAAGACGAAGACAAGCTACACTTAAATCACGATTAAATACTTGAGCTGGATTATAAAAGACAGCACCCTCTGGTAAACGAATATTTGCTTTGCCTTCTTGTACTTGTACATTATCGGTCATAATTGTTGAAAGTGAATAATCTTCGTCGTTAATATCAATAGTTGATAATCTACGATTAAGAATTGATGTTCGTATCAAGAAGAAATTAACACGTATACGGGATAAATAAGAGATCATATATATATATAAAAGGAAAATTTTCTACAGAAAAACAAGAAAAAAAAGAGAAGATGTTCGAGGATGAAAAGACAACAATAGATATTTTTTTAATAAAAACAAAAGAAAATTTGTTCATCGGTCTCGATTTTATCGAGATTTACATGTCTCATTAGAATTCGATTTTCGCATATTTTTCAACATCTGTTTTTATTTTTGTAAGTGATAATTGATCATATTTTTGTTTGTATTTCAATGTAAAACTTTTTATATTTATTTGATTAAATTCATCACTTTGTTTTAATATCGAATAATATAATATTCATATTGTTCATTCGATGTCTGGACTTTTCATTATCAATAAAAAGACAAATATTACAAGTTAACTTTCGTTTTATATTATCTATTTTAACCAGAATATATTTTTCTTCTTTTTCATATTCCCATTTTTTTTTCTAAACAATAAGAATAATAAGAAGAAAAAATGGAAGATCAAACGACGGAAATTTTATTTAACGTCGTTTTAATAATAATATCAATGAAAACATATAATTAGTTTTATTTTGTCTTTTCTTAGGTTAATACAAATCAATAAGTCTTATAAATCAACAGAAGAAAAAAAAAAAGAAAAGCATTATTATTATGATAGGTTATTAGATGTAAACGGAACTTGTAAACGGGTTATTAATTCAAATATTGATGGATATAATGAACATTCATCTAAAACAAATGAATCTATCAATAAAATGATAATAGAATAAATAATAAGAAATATACTTTGATTCATTGTTTCTCTTGATATATTCAAAATTTTTATTATAGTTTGATATTTAACTTCATTTCCCATGGATGGTTGTTTATTTAATGCATCCCATAAAGTTGTTTGATTATTAATCGTATCATATACTAATGGAACAATAAATGTTGAAGTATTACTAGTATTTGTTTGAAGGTCATTTTGATTTATTCGAGAAATAAATTGAAACTAAATTATTTTCAAAAAAAATAAAATATTATCGAAATATACAAAACAAAAATAGTTAATAACTAAATTATACCATAAAAATAAATGATAATCGACTAGACATATAATAGATTGCTGGTTGACCAACTTGAGAAAAACCATTACCTTGTGGTACTGTTAAACACCAATGTACTCGCCATAAATGATGATTTTCAGGATTCTAAAGAGTAAACAAAAAAGAAAAAAAGTTTTTCAATGTTCTGTAAATTTTGTCTAGATGAATTATCTGTCAGATTGTATCTTTACAATGATTTAAATGACGTACATTATTTTTTTTTCCGTAAGCTGATTATAAGTAGTTTAAACATTGTTAGGCAAAAAAATACAAATTAAGTTTTCTCGCAATGTAAACAACCTGAATAGTCTATAATTAAAATAATTGTTGTTTGCGCAACTAATTTAAATCAAGTTTTACGTTTGTACTGAAAACAAAACCCGTTACAAAATATATATATATTCGTACTTTTTAGAATATTTGACAATTAAAATCTCATATAATTATTATATTGTATAATAAGTTAGATAAATTACAATAGATTTCTGTAGAACTAACTGATCTACTCATTAAACTCATTTATTGAAGTATCATCAATATGAAAATGTGAAGATACCTGTTCAAGTCTAATAATTTTCACGAGATCTTTTAATATTCGAGGGTGAATAAGTGAAAGCATTCGTTCAAATGAACCCATAGCTGTAGTGAGATTTTGAGTTGCTTGTAAAGATAAAATATCAATAGATGGCATTATTAAATTTGATGAGGGTGATAATGGAAAAAATGTATCATTAAAAAATATTTCAATTATTTGTAATTCATCTGGCGACCAGAATATATTCGATTGTTGTTGTGATGTTGAATCAAATAAAGATATAAAATACATTCGATATATAGTTGTTGGAATATCGAATAAAAATGATATTTGAAGAGATAAATGTTCTATTCGATATGTATCTTGTTCATTTGGTACAGAACGAACCTAAAAAATTAATTTTAATAAAGAATAAAACATTTATTAGTTATTCTTACGGTTGGATTATTTGCATCAGCAGGTTCAGTAACAGCTTTAGCAAATTGTCTTACAAGAAGCGATGAAGCAAGAAATGATTCTAATTTCGACCACTGATGTCCATCCGGTGTAAAAAGCATTTGAAAAAAGGTTTGTTGAGTCATATATACAGGATAATTAACTTTAGTTAATAATTCACGATTGTAACTATAGAGTACTGATAATTGCTGACTATCTAAAAATGAAAAAAAAAAAAAGACACAAGAATTTGATTAAGCTCTTAAGAAAACTATTAAATCTAACCAGTATGATCTGATCTGACATTGGACGAAGTTGATGCTGAGGTCATAGGTAATGGGTCTCGAAATATCACATCTGAAACAATGTTTTCAATGATTAGATTTTTTATTTGGTATTGAAAAGAAAAATATTTTACCATAAATATCACTAGGTGATGCAACTGGTGATTGTGTTGATATTTCCATGAATGAATTCTCTAATGTTGAATTATTTGCTGTGTTTAATGTTTGATTTGTTAATTGACTTGAAATTGGTAGTGGTAGAGGTGTCTGTTGTTCTGGAAAAAGAAAATCTTGTTCATGAAAGCAATTTGTTATATCAGAAAATTCGAATGTTAAACCGCGATCATCCGCATATACAGATAAAAATTCCTATAGAAAAAGTTAAAGAATTTAACGTTTTTTTTTTTTTTTTGAAAATAAAATCTTACTTTAAGTCTAGGAATTTGTGTAAGTTCTGATAATGAACTATTAAGCTGTACACTAAATGAACCATCACGAACAAGTATTAAATTAGGTCCACATATTTGAATATCAAGTGCAAATATTTGACCAAATATAAGACGCCATCGAGATTCAGTATATGGTACAAGTGTAAGAGTCGATTGAGCACACCCGCCCTATATATGCAATACATAAGAATTTTCAATTAAAATAAAAAATATGAAAAGAAATAATGCGGTATAGGATATTTATATATTTTAATAAAAGTTAAGTGAAAATGAGATAATAAAACCTTCATTGATATGATGAATGATATTTTATTATCTTCTCATATATCTAATCAAACTAACGGTTGGCATTATTCAGAGATATGCGTTTCATGTGTTAGTAGATCAAATTATCTTTATTTCTATGGCATAGAAGTCGAATCAAGAAAAAGGAAAGATCTGTCCTACCTTAATTATAGTAGCTGTGAGACTCTTAAATCATAGTGAATTTCATTGTGATGAGCATAATATTTAAATTTAAATTTGTGCTAATTTAACTATACAACAAGTATAAATTTATTTTGTTGTTCTTAGGTAAATAGTTCGGAAATGAAGCGCTACTTTTAAAAAGATATGATGAAGTTACAAGTATGTGAAAGAAATCGGTAAAAAATTATTTTTCAGCTACCGTTAGATGCGGTACACATCACTATCAGTGCAATTGCAAGCGTTCAATAAGGAAATTGTCGAATGGATTCGTATTTATTGAAAGCGAAATTTCAAGAAACACGAATCCTGATATTCCTAGTTGACGTTGCTCCACTTTTGTTTTATATTAATAACAAATGTTGAGATTTATAAGTAATGTCCATTGTTAATTTACCTATACATACATGTCTACCAACTCTATATATGACAAATCAACCAATATAAAAAAAAACATTTATGCTTAGAATTATTCAATTATTCTATTAGTGATCTTATAATTATTATTAAAGGAAAAATATAAATGTGATTAACTAACGTGATTAACAAAAACAATCGGTCGATTGAAACAATTTAATCGTGCAATTGAAGACAATGGTATTGCTGTCATATGTAACAACTATAAGAAGCAAAATAAAATATCATTGTATATATAAGTCGTGCCGAAGTTACACTCTTTGTCGAAGTTACAACTTCGGCAATATAACGTTTGTCGAAGTTGTTAACAACTTCGACAAAAATATCCGTCGAAGTTGTAACTTCGACAAAATTTTTGCCGAAATTACAGCTTCGGCACGACATATATATTATAGTTTATTCTACAAGAAAAAAAAATTTCGATCTTACTCGAATAAATTGTTTTAATGAACGTGTTTGATTTAAAAATAAGGTTAATTTTCTACTGAATATTTGATGATATGTTGGTAGAAATATATTATTTATTGTTGTAAAACGTAAATCAAATGTTCCTTCGACATTTGAATTTGATTCTTGTTGTGTTTGATTACTATTATATGTCAATGTTACCTAAATATTTCGAAAAAAAAATAAAAATTATTTTAGTTTAAGAGAAAAACTATTTCTATACGAACAGCATAAGCAAAATTTGGTCCATAATGAATTGTACATTTAAAAAAATTAAAAAACATTAATTTAGAAATTGCATGAAGATCAGTTAATTCTAGGGAATAAATAAATAAAAAAAAACAATACAAAAAAAAATTGCTGTATTATTTTTAATTAACCTAATAATGATAATGAATAATTTTCAAATAAATGAGTTAATTCAAATGCAGCTCGAAGTTTACTATGAATAAAATTGACTATTTTGGAAGAAGTTTCTTGTGGTGTTTGATTATAAACAACAATAGAATTATACGGAGCTAAATTAAAACAAAAAATAATGATTTATAATTTGAAAATTTTAAATATACTTTTAATAAAAGCATTATGAAAATAATTTTTATCGAATAAATTTAACTAAAACAAAAAATTTAGATATAAAATATATTCTTTGAGCTTTTATTAGAACTTTACATCTAGAGTCCATTGTCGTGTTGTAGATTTATGATCACGACCTATATCACGTAAAGGATAAGATAATCGAATAGTACAAGATTGAATACGAGGCCAAAAATATTCATTAATATAACTGAGAAGTTCAGAATTTGATTGAAATGAATCATCATCTGTTGGTGTTCTATTCAAACAATAATATCATTCAACTGAATAATTTTTATGCATAAAACTTACCGAACAATATCGAGATAAGGTATGCCTGTCCATGGACAGTAGAGTATATTTTTACATATTGTTTTTTTCTGTTGAAACTAAATATAAGAGAAAATATTCATTCTTAGTTCTTATTTCAATTTCATTGACGGTATTGAGAAGTAAATCAAGAGCTATGATCAAAATTGAATTTTATAAATTTTCAAATTGATTGACAATGTTTTTAACAATTGTGTGAGAATTCTCGACAAATGATGAAACTCTTAAGAAGAAATGCCAAACTAATTTAAAATCAATACAGTAAAAGATCAAACAGAAGTTCTGACTCATTTTGTTTAAGACGGTCTCGTTTAAAAATCGATCTTGGTTCAGGTACATTCAAATCGTATGAAATTTTCAGCCCTATACGATCATGTTTTCGAGAGATATTCAACAAATAAAGGTTAACCATAGCTCATTTAGCAACCCAGAATTGTTCGTGAGTCTTCATTTTATAGACTGAATTTTGTTTTTGTTTGAAAGATCATGATCACATAGAGAAAATGAACGATCCTATTATTAAAAATTCTTGCTTTTTAAGGAATGAAAAGTTCAATGACCTGAAAAACTCTCAGAAACTAATGCTCGAATAATATAAGAACTCTGCTATATAATCGTGAGAAAGCTTAACAGATACTTCAAAAACTCTGGAATGTATGATCAATAAATCATATTTTTCAAGTAGAAAATAGCGAAAAGTTTTGGAAAAAAAATGAGATGTCAAATAAAAATCATGTCATTTATTAAAGATCAGATGTTGGTCTGTCTTCTCATGTATTTATCTCAAGTTTTATACCAATGAATCTTCTTGCAAAACTGTCTTCTATGAAGAAAAAGTACATTAGAATGTGCTCTTTAAACAAGTTCATAAGAATATAATTCATCTACAATCTTAGTTATTTCCTAGGTAGGATTCATTCCTTTCAAAAATCGAATTAATGCACGAAGACGATTATATCTAATTATTGCATAAGATATTTAATACATCATAAAACAATTCCAAAGTGATTTCAAAATGCAAGTTGATTGTTTCAGTTACAGTTAGTAATAAGTTTTAGCCTACTCTCAACTGCCAATGTGAACGTCATCTTTATTTTAGTATTCAATACATACATATAGACTTCGGGTTTAATTAGTGTATAAAAGCTTTTTGCTTTAAATTTTATATGGTTTTTGATGATAAAGAAAGGTTATGTAGACTAGTTTTCTCTTGTTGATAGTTTAGAAAAATCGAAGGTTTTCACTAAGAATGCATTCATTTCAATTTTTTCAATTGATATGTGAAACTCCTAAATTTTTACTATTTATTATTATAAATAATTATAAAGTATTTACTTACATTTTCTTTTAAAATTATAAATGAAAGCATTTCGTCATAATAATTAACGAATTTTATTAGTGATTTAAAAGATAAAATTGATGTCTAAATATTTAATTAAGAAAACAAAAGCTTTTTTCTTAATTTATATTTACAAATTTCTTTACCGGTTGTGCTTGTTTAACTCCGTTATCATCTACAGTTGATTTATTGTATTGAAATGAATTTTTAAACTAAGAAAAACAAGAAATTCTCTTTGAAATTATATTAAAATTTAAACTAAAACAAACTTCAAATAATTCTTTTCTTAAAAATGTTGTTGGATCTAATGGATATAGAATTAATGGTTCTAATATCCATTTTGCACCTTCATCATTTGATGTTGTTGTCTGTTGATTTGGTGTTTGTTGTTGTTGAAGAACAAGTGGTTCATGGATAGATGAACGTTTCTCAACAATTAGTAAATAATATTGAATTAATAATTGATTTACATCAGATACATGAAGAAGCTTTAAATAAAATTTAAAAAAAAAGTCTACTAAAGAAAAAAAAATAACTCATTAACTTACAATATAAAATCCTTCGTTATTAATTAATTCAATATAAATACTATCATTAATGAAAGGAATAATTAATTCATGTTTTAGATTTAATGATGGTATCCGTGTATATACATGACAATTGAGATGAGCTAAAAGTGATGGAATACGTTGTTGAATTAACCAAATTCTAAAATTGATTAAAAATAGACAAAAACAAAAAAAGATTTTTTTTTTTTGATACAAAAAAGAATTTTCTTACTTGAATAAATTAATAGCATCAATTAAATTTGTTTGATCACGATTAAGTGCATTTTCAATTTGTTGTGAATAACGAGTTTCTATGAAGAATTAAAATAAAAAACAAAGAATAAACAATTGATGAAATAAATAAAAAAAGATAAATTTTAGATTTACCCATATAAGAAACGACTTTAAATAAACCCGAAAATGGATTAATTGATATAAATAAAATTTCTTCAGATGTACTTTCAGGTAATAATTGACATTGTAATGCTGGAATTGATGAATCAATTTCAACTGGAAAACAAAAATTTATTTAATTATAATTGGGCGTGACAAACTGTCGGGATGTCCCATTTTGATGCAGTCCTATTGTAAGGACAAAACATACTATTGTCCGAGTCATATGAGAAAGGATCCCAAATAACCCTGGATTGGCCTGAACAACACCATGTTTTATCCTTACAATAGTAGACAACAGCTACCAGCGTCTCGTGTGAGCTAGTAGCTGTTATCTACTATTGTAAGGATAAAACATGGTGTTGTTCAGACCAATCCAGGGTTATCTGGGATCCTTTCTCATATGACCCGGACAATAGAATGTTTTGTCCTTACAATAGGACTGCATCAAAATGGGACATCCCGACAGTTTGTCAAGCCCAATAATAATTTATAAATAAATACTATTTGCTATTGTAGTTGATAAAATTGTTTCTTTTAATTCCTAAATAAAGATATTTAGATAAAAATAGAATTTAAAACAAATAATTAACGAACTTCAAATCGACGTTGACATCGTGCATAAATTGTTCGATTTAAAATTTCCTCCATTGTAAATATTGGCTTCTAAAAAAGTATGATAATATTCAATATATTTGTCATTTATTTCTTTTTCAATATTGATGATAAAGAAGAGTATTCTTTCCAAGGAAAATGTTTTGTATTTCGAAAAAAAAAAGGTACTTTTAAAATGAAATGAAACAGATGCTGTTAGAGATCCTCGAGAAAAGATGTACAGGTAAAAATTGCATTTTTGCATCGTACTCCAAGGGTATGTCAAAGTTTTCATCTAGAATTTCTTAGCTATTTCAAGTCTACTATTAATGTGTGTTACCAGCATATTAGTTTAAGATCATTTTAACTAAATCAGGTCTGGCAATACAGCTCAAATATTTCAGCATACTTCAAGATTTTAGTACCAGTTGCGTACGGAATTTTTGCTTTTCCTTCCTTCTCCTGAATGTCAAGTTTTCAAAAATGGTTTTTTTCGAAACAATCTATTTGCTCTAATATACTGCTTTGTTTTTGTATTCAACGATTTATAGAGATGACGCGTTATAGAGTTGCTCTTTTTGAAATACTGTTCAAAACCAATTTAACTTGAAAATTCTACAAAAAAATGCTCTTGAAAAACAATAAAAGACTCGTAGTAAGTACCCAGACGTTCCAATACATCTGATCTACCTTTCGTCTGCCCTTTTCTAAACGTCTTTTATGGATCGGCATCTTCGCCATATATATATATCGGTTTGTTCAGATAAAAGAGAGGTGTTAGTATTTCTTTAATAGTTCTTTTAGTTTTCATCACTTTCATTGGAATTTTTTTCTCAAAAGATTGTTCGTTCAATCGAGTACAAAACTGTTTGATTTCAAGTTTAAAGAAGAAAAACCGGCTACACAAAATATGAAATTGCTAAGAGGACTTTATTTTCCTACAAAGAAATGTGCACTTTCTCACCGTATATAACGAAGTGTTTCAAACTAGTATTGTAACTCAACGACAAATTTCTTCAAATTGAGTTGCCAACAGTGAAAATTTTGTTTATCTAACTTTATCATTCAGTAAAGAACTGGATTCAATTTTCATCGAATTCTACGAATTTTGCTAAAAACCCGAAACTATTGAATTGCAGCAAAAAGATATGTAGCTTTTCAAGGGCTACAGAATGGCTAATTATCTCATTTTTATGTCTCAAAAAGAACAGAGAAAAGAGTAGCTTTTTCTCCTAGGAAGTGGGACGGATTGAAGATTCATAATAAGTATTATTTTGTCAATTTTCCTGCTTTAAACTTGAAATCAAACGTTCATTTTGGGTCATTCAATAGTATACATCAAGATTATCGAACATGGAAACTTGAACAAGTGAACAGGAATGTAAAAACAAATAAGGAGAATTTTAATTGCACTAAGATCAAAAGAAAAATAGCAAACAGTTTTTCTCGATTAAGAAATTTATCTTTTGAGAACATCATAGGTAATTATATCCATTGAAAAATTCTATTTTTTTTTCTCCCTGTTATATGCTAAACTCGTTCAGTTAGAATTAAATATAAATTTTCAAACAATGTTTCTATACTTATGTTCCTAGATAACATCAACAATATTTTTCAAGTGATCAACGAAGACTCGTAAGTTCAGAGACAAATATACTTACACTATAAATAGGCGTTTATGATCTTATTTTCAATTTCTACTATTATCATTTGACATGTTATTAAACATAAATTTACTCTAAACTTACGAGGAAACATTCCCACGTGTTCTGCATCCTTTTAAACTACTATTTTGTCCATAAGTAGGCTTTTGTGCTCCTTGCCGAGTTTTGAATTGAAAAAGTAATGGCAAATGCTTTTTGGTCACTATTACAAAGTATGAGACTGTAAATATTGTCAAGAGTGAACTTAATGACATTTAAATTATACTAGACTTTCCAATATTTTTTTCTTCGGTGCCATTTTCATTAGAACATAGACTGTTTATCTGCATGATTTTCATATAAAGTCTCATGTACACTATTCAGTAGTACAATAGATGAGCAAAGTATCAGCTCACAAAAGGATGTGGAACATCTGGGAATATTATCTCGTTAGAACAGCTCTTTATTCATCTGACATACGTAAATCAAAGAAAATTCTTACTTCTAAAACTTTTAAAATGGCAACACTATCATCAATAGGTAAAGGTGGCCAATGTTGAATTTGATATTTTCCATTATCATCACATATAATTGTCATACCAATATCTGTAATTTAAAATAATATTCAGCATGAAATAATAGTGGTTCTATTTTTTTTTTTTTTTGTATACCCATATTTTTTCCATTGAAAATTTGTTTCTTTTGTGGATTATTATTAATAGTAGCAGTATAATCTTTCCAATATTCAATATAAAAACTTTTACATGGATTATAACCAGATATATGTAAATCTTTTTGTTTTGCACCTTGATTACGTATTCGATGAGCCTTTAATAAATAAAAATTTATTTTAAATAAAATTATAATATTTAGTACTTACTTGTTCAAATAAAACTTGTAAACCTAATGATTGACAATAATAATCTATTTTAAAGGAAAAATAAAACGACTTATATTAAGAAAAACTAACAAAAAAAGAAATAAATACACACGTAAATAATTATAAAGATCAACTAATGGTTTTTCAGATTCATTAAGCCAACTTTGAACATAATTTGTTAATAATTGTATCTAAATATATATATTATCAAAAATTATTCTACATCTAAAATTTCAAACTTACTTGCATCGGATGAACAAGATCTTGTTCTGTAAAAAGAAAAAGAAATATTTCACTATAATCTTAACAATATTCTTCAAACTTGACCCATTACTCCCCATTGGTCATAGGAGAGACTATTTGTAGAAAATAAAGAAAGAATACTTTTTTGTAATAAATTTCATGAGTTATTAACTGGAAAAAAGGCTTTTTTCATCGCTCCACCTTCCATATATCGAATCTACAAAATTGATAATTTTGAAAACATTCGACTTTTTTCAAATGAAATGTGCTCTATCAACTAGTGCCCGTCATGACCAAGTGTTTTTGGTCATGGTCACATCACGGTCACGATGATTTTCTATGGATTTTTACGACCACTCTCAAAAAAGAGGTATTACTTAATGGCGCTTAAATATATGGGTTATGTCGATCAACATGACAATATATTTAGTAGTTAATAACAAAATTTATCACATAAAATAAATAATTAACAACTCAATTTCAGTTCAAAAAATTGCCGAAGAAGAACTTCATACAATGGCTCGCCAATGAAAATATTTCAGCCATAAGCTAAAAGTGGAAAAAGAAGGATTATAACGCTAAACCAGAATAAATTAGACTGTTAGTATTTTTAATATTTGTTCTATTGATTGAACTCAATCGGGCTGATATTTTACTAACATATTCTCTGTTTAATTCCTGGGAAAGAATGCATCCACCATTTACGGCAAAATTCGAATGTGCAAAATTTTTTGAGGCTGTGGGAACTACAAAATGAAGAAAAAGCTAAATTTAGATAAGTTAAAAAACAAGCTCCTTTAGTATTTCTCGTTGAAATGTTACGAAAGAGCAATATAAAAGTAGCCATCGTATAAACCTTGAAAAATTCTATTCAGTCAATAATGTTAAAAAAAACTTCAGCTAGAATCGAGAGTGTAAGAGTTTTATTATTTTTGTCTATTTTTCAAAAACTGACGAGTTTTTAATGGGTACTCTAAATCTCCCGATAAAACAAATAAAGCCTAGTTAAACTTGATCCACTCAAACTGATTTTCATATTTATTTCGAAAAGCATTACTTAATCAATATGGTCAAATATCTAATGTTTAACAAAATCATTATTTTGTCGAGTAACGCAAAAAAAGATAATTGTTATTATTTTTCGCTTGTTCGCCATAAAGCTTATTTTTGCGTTGAATATTTGAATTCAAATCCTTTGTGCCTTCTACTAGGAGATAGAATGTCTTTGAGATTACACTAAATCTAATGAAATATTATTCTGACGGTTGTGAAGCCATTCGAAAAATAATAACTTTATTCGAGAAAATGTTCTTTGTTTTTTTTCTCTATTTTGGTATTTCTAACGATTTCTCATGACATTTCACACGTTCGGATTCTGCAATAAAAAGGTCGATACCTTTTTAGAAGAAATCGAACAGGACACCTTGAAGTAAAAAAATTAGCACGATCGAGTTCAAAGTAGAGAAGAAATATTAAAAGTATAAACAGATTAATTTATTCTGGTCCACCTGTTGTATGCCATAGGCAAATGTAAGACTCAAGTCAATTCAAGAATTAAACTAATCTCGGACTGGCCAAGGTGAATTTCAGAGACAAAATTAAATCAGTCCTACATCAGATAGAGGAAACAGTTCATCACAAAGCTCGAATCGGTCTCCTGATGAATGTCAAGTTCGGATTGGCTTTGATGTACTGTAATAAGGCAATCTTGTGTCAATGGGTAAAATCATCAGTTAATGAACTAAGAAATAGTCTTAGTCCTGATATGTCTTTTATGCAGAATAGCAGCTTCTATGGAAAGCGGCTGATCATTAACTCGACTCGCACTTTGTCCGCCAAGTGACCACGGACTTCGTTGAAATATCAGTTTCTTACTGCGGTTCATGAAAATTAAACTGGATCTGACTTAGTTCTATAGGCTTGTTTGACTTTTCCCGTAAACTGTTTCGTAGATTCGACTTTGGCCTAATTCAAACTCAGATCGAACATTAGCCCAGATCAATCCAGAATTGATAGAAATCATATATCGGCCTCCGCATATATCTAACGTCCATGAGAGTCCAAAAAAAGCACAGGCAAATAAAAATGATGACAAAAAACTTAAGTTATTTGGTTATTTTTAAAGGAATACTAGAATATAAGTGTCCTTTCGTTGAAGTATAACTATAACAAAATGCCTACTTAAATCATGTATTTTCGGTATAGTAATTTTTAAGCATAATGATTTAGGTTCAGACAAAATGAATAAAGTGTTGAAATATGTATAGAACATGAGAACTCTGTCTTGTGAACAATCCAATGCAGTTGAAAGAAATATAAGATACATGAAGATTTCAGCGTGGTGACTTGCCTTCAGTCACGGTCACGAACTTTTCAAAAAATACTGGTCACGATCACGGCCGTGACTACCGTGGGTCACGGTGGTCACGCCAGGCACTACTACCAATACTCAATAGAAACCTTGAGAACTTGTGTGTGATATAAATCAATGAAAAAGTTCACTAGTGAGTTAGATATGTTTTGAAAACTTTACAGTAACCTAGCGAATTATACATACTAAGACATACAATAATCAACAACAAAGTTAATATCTGTCTTATAAATTTCAACTAACGAGAAATTGAAACAGTATTCATTATGAATAAAATGTCTTCAGAGATTATAAAATATCTCAAAGCAAGGTCGATGTTTATTAAACAAGATTTATCAAAAACACATGTATTCTTTTGACAGTAATTTTTATCGGTTTACTCTTTTCTTTTTTTCTATTACCACTATAACATATGATTGATGTTGTTTTTGATTAGACAAGCTAAAATTCTGCTTTTGAAGTTATTTTATCAGTTGCTCCTCTGAAAGTGCTACGGAGAGACAATGGACTAAAAACAAAATGCATTTATTTTTTACCCGGTTCTTCTGGATCTTGTAAAAATAATTTTGTTTGATAAAGACGCCATGGAGATGATAGATTATCATTTGTAATTCCTAATTTAACTTCAAATTCTCTATCAACTGTCAATGTTACTAGTCCATTTTCTATAAAAGCAATCAATCATCTAATATATAAATATCCCTTTTTATTTTCGTTGACATACTAATTATTACAGTAGTAAATTGCATAGGTAATTCCGAAGTTGAGATTCTTGCTGTAAGAATTTGTTGAAGGCGTGGCAAAATTTTTTGACGTTCACTTTCAGTAGCTGGTGTAAAACTTGTTGCAACTTCTGCGATTCGTTTAGGTAAAAAATTCACAGAACCAAGTGTCATTGCATCAATAGCATCTGTTACAGGAAAACTAGGTACTCGAGCTTCAAGAAGTTTTTCACGTGCAAGTTGAGCTAATGAATCAGATGTTTCACGTATTAATCGTGCACGAAGTTCAAGAAAATTTTGTATATCCTTAAAGAAAAGAAAAAAACTTTCTTTATTTAGTTTCTCTTGAAAAAAAAAGTATTTACCTCGCATGCAGTTACTTTTCCGGTTGTTGCTGCCCATTTAACAACAGCTAAAATTCGTATAAATAATTGTCTAACACGGCAAGCAAATTTAATTAATTCTATTTTTCTAATAAGAAAAAAAAAACGTATCCATCAATAATGAATCTTTATTTTCGAAAAATCTTATATGTACCGTTCTAAATTTGATTTGCTATGTAGACTAAATTATCAAAACAAAATAGATTGATATAAAAATGAAACAGTTTTATTAATAAGATACATACACATCTGCCATTGTGTATAATTCATGATAAGTTTTTTGTACAGCAGCATCAAGTAAGTGGGATAAAGGAATTTTATCATATATTGGTACAATGAGAGCATTACTATTACCAGCTGATGGACCAGCAGACATCTTAAAACTAATTAATAAGTTTTATCGAAATGGTTTTTCTTCCCTTGTTGTTTTGAGTTTCAAATAAATTAAGAAAGAAATTAATTTCTATCGGATCATATTCTATTGGTTTGTATAGGAGATAAATGATAATTTACAAGTAACTCCTTCGTTTCATTGAGATTGATAACTACTGACATCTAGTTTTGTCGAGTATATAAAACATTATTGAAATAATAGATTCAGAACTAGTCACCAAGAAAATAAAAGAAATACCTTAGAGAATTTTCCTATCATAGTTTGCTTTTTCTTTTCTTTTTCTTTTTTGCTAAGATAAATAAACGTTAATTGCTCTATTAACATCTGTCATAGTCCTACTTAATTATTGTCAACCATATACAAAAAATTACGTATGTCATAAATTAGAAATTAAAAAAAAAACAAATCGAAAAACAATAGTTCCTTTTCTTTTCGTGAAATGTACACATGCATATAGACAACAGAAATGTCTATGGTAGCACGGTAGCCTTATCTCTTTTAGGATTGCGGCACATTTCCAGCCGCGATGAACATCTCTGACAAATAAATGCTTATCAATGTATCATCCTTCGATATAATTTTTATTTAATATATTAAAAACATTAAAGTTAGCTTAATACTAAATACACTACCATCACATCAGAATTTATAATTACATAAATTCATTGTTTATGTGGTTGAATTAGAGCGAACCATCCCTAGAAAATATATTAGAAAATAGTTTGTTGAAACATAAAATCATGATAACTATGCTCGTTATTATCTAATACAAGAATCCCTGCCAGAAAAATTCACGTCGCTGAAATTCTTATTATTTTCAGAGAACGAAAAAGACGTAGTACCTAATTATATCAATGCATATTCCAAGGTTGAGTAGAATAGAAGAAATAGAACTCTTCTTTTTCATAAAATCATAAGCAACATATCATTGGATGAGTTTCCATTAAAACTGTTTCGAAAAAGGTTGCTTTTTAATGTAAACAATGTTTTATTGAGAAATAAATTGAAGCAAACATATTGGAAAAAAGCCAGTCTTGATAGAAATTTTTTTATAAGTTTAGAAAGAAAAAAGCTAGCTAAATACATACTTTTCACTGACGAAGATAGGTCACCAATTGTTCAATTGCTTTTTAATCGAGACTATGTGCCTTGTGTAAAACCATATGAGTTATGGAAACGAATTTTTGTCATGACACCATCGTGGATTTTTGGAATGCTGTAAGCAAGTTCTTCGGAACTTACGATGCTTAATACAATGAATACAGCTGATCGACTTGTCAGCGTAATCTCAATGTTATCATACAATATCAATCAATGATACATAAACATTGAGTAAATCTGAGTCAAATTGACCTTTCATGAAATCTTGAACATCATCCAATAATTTAATAAAGCGAATCCATCTCGATAATGAATTGAGTCCTTTTCTTCCAGGAATACAATAAAATCTAGTATGGAGATAATCGAACAATTAAGATCACTTCTGCTGACTAAATAGAGATTTTTTAAAAATAAGATATACTATAAATCAATACTATTCTAACATTTGCAATATACTGTACATATGCTTTATTCAACCATTAAACATTTTAAAATATATTTTTAGTTCAGCTTGAGTAAGAAATAACAGCATAGATACGATATAACACTATTGCCGACTGGATAACAGTTATTCAGTAGTTTTATAATACAAAAATTATTCATTTTTATAGTGTCATCTGGTCATCAGATTCAAAGCACAATCTAGAAGTTTAGTAACTTATCTTTTTTTTTTGTCTTTTTAAATTGTTCATTTTGTCTATCTACTGTAGTTCACGTAAAAATTAATATCAAATATTCTCTTTTAAGACACAGTAATGATCAAGTCTAATCGAAAGGAAATAGTTTATCAGAGATGGATAAACTTTCTGTTGTAAAGGAACAGTTAAATGTGTAAGCACATTCTCTCAGCATGTTTTTATTTTATTCTCAGCATAAGAATGACATTTTGAAATTTTAGCATATTACGTAGAAACATTTCATCCAATGAATCGTAAATCTCGAAATTTGATTGCATCGTATTTATACATCACAATTTTATTTTATGTATATTGCTAGTCCTTGTTATTTATAAGATTTCGACTAATACAATCAGTGAACGTCCTTATTCTACTTATGATGTATGAGATGTGGATGGAAGAGTGTGAGTGTGGGTTATCTCTTTACTAACACCTACACCCACACCCACATCCTCTCTCATCTTTTAATCAGTGAAAATCACAGATCACTATCTTGTTCCTATGAGATGTTATTTCGAAATGGATAATAATTTGGGTAGACTAATGGAATTGGATTTACCTTTTAGGCTGAAGGATTAATTTTGGTGATACAGTTGTAGTTATTCTGGCCCAGTAAATAGAAAATTAATTCTAAAAATATTAATTATAATACCTTTCGGTTGGCAGAAAAATCATTAATATCGTTTTATGAAAAAAATTACGTAGCACTGATTTATTCTAATACATGTTCAAGTAAATTAAGAATAAAGACAGTTGAAAAAAGAGTTTCTTTTTCTTTCAATATTAAATAAGCTATTGATATACTTGACGTTTTTTTTTTGAGTAAACGGTGCCTTAAAAGTGTCTAAGAGAACTATGAATGATAATTTATTGAAACAATGTTGAAGAAAGCATATATAGGAAAACGCTACATTGATCAATATAATGGTCTCAATTTAGAAGAAAAGAAAACTATTAGTTATATAATTCTTAATGAATTGTCATCAATATACGAGTCGATGTTGCTGCCTACCAAATCTTTGCGAATAAATGTCATCATGTAGTCAATACTTCGTACACCCACTGGTAATGGAAATATATTCGTATACCTACACCATCCTGGATGGGACGTAGTGCAAGCTATTTCTCCGGAATCCACTGTGTTCAGTATAGAAGAGGATGATCGAAACGTCAAACTAACTTGAACCAGATCATGAGGGATAAACATTCGATCCCAAGTTTGATAGTAAAAAGTTATTTCCGCTCTAAGAGAGTCCAAATCAAGTTGAGTTTCCGTAAAACCTTGTATACCACCCAATAGATTAACATTTTGAACTAATTTTGATGGTGAGTTAGGTCCGTTTCCTCCAGCAAAGCAATAAGTTCCACTGTTTGGATAATAATTATTATTGAATTGGCCATTTGAATCAATTATGACAGGAGAAGAACCAACTTGATTCCAACCAACATCTGATCCTGATTCAGCACCAGGATTTATCAATAAATTCGGTGGAGTCATGGTAGTTGTTGTCGCTTATAAGAAGATATGAAAAATAAACAAACTATTAACGAAAAATAATTGGTATATTACTTCTAATAGTTGTTGTTGTTGTTGTTGTTGATATGTGAGCTAAAAAAAGGAATAAAAATAAAGCTTCTAATGATTTTTGTGAGCAAGCCGCTTTTTTTAAAATGTTTTTCTTATGAAAAAAACCATGTGATTATTCCAACAGAAAAACTATTTTACTCACTATTGATGCTGATTAATGTCGCTAAATATAACAAGCAACGAAAACTTATTAATAGATATCATATGATAACAAAAAAAAAGCGTAAAGTATTACTTGTTATTGTTTCTGTTGTTAATTCCATAGTTGAAACAATATTCTCCATGTCATCGGTAGATAATTCCGTAGTTGAAACAATATTCTCAATGTTATCGGTAGATAATTCCTCAGTCGCATTGATCAATGTCATAGCTAAAAACATGAAAGATTTATTGTTTTAATTAAAATTTGAATATCAGCGGAAAAAAATGTAAACCTGTCGTGTTTGAATCGGAAGATGCTTTAAATGGAAATAACCAAAATTTCAAGTTAATAATATATCTTACTAATACTCACTAATTGTCATCATTTCGACTAAATTAGATAAACAAATCAAAACATATTTCCTCATTGATAAAACTTACAAGTTGTTGGAGACATTTCTGACGTAGCAGCTAAAATATGAATAAGCTTTAGTGTATCATCATATTCTAAGTGCTAAATATTATTTTATTTACTACATACATGTATTCTCTGATGATAAATGATTGTTTGCTACATAAATAATAAATCATCGTCAATATCGAAAAGTGTATCAAAACTGATTGTCACTCACTTTCAGTTAATTGCGTTGTAGAAGTTATAGTTGGCATAGCTATTTTAAAAAATTGATTATTAATACTCTCGCATCAGATTATGACTTTTTTGAAAAATATACGATTTTTCTTTTAAACAGAACAAAAATATAGAATTTTTTACGCATTAATATTGATGAAATCTTCAATTTAAATGACTTTGTCGCTTGAGACTTTTCTCTAGTAATAATTACAACAATGTCGAACTGATAGATAACAAAACATAGTAATCATTACTGGTCATATTAAAATGAGCAGTCATTTTTAATTCTAGCAACTAGGCAAATGATACAAATGTTTCTAATCATACGTCAGCAAATCAAGAGAAAGGCTGCTCATAATATTCAGTCAAACCAAGGATAAACACAAAATTTTATTGCGATTTCATAGTTATATCTAATCTCTAAAGACAGTGCGTATTGTCTTTTGCTTATAAATGTTGTCGATAGCAAAAACAAAAGATATCATTATCTACGATTTATTAAGAATTACATTAACTATGTTTATTAACTCTTTAGATTGGTTTTGTATTAGTAAATATTCATATGTTGTTAAGCAGCTTTCCAAACTGGAATATTATAGTTGAGATCAACAATGTGGTCTAACAAACACGGTAAAATTGTGTGTAGATATTTTTTTTGTAACTATATATTTAAAGATGCTTTATTAGAGTTAACTATACAAACCTCAGATAAATTAATTTCTTTAAGTTTCTCACATTATCTTAGAGCAAGAAATTAGGTCATTTATCAGTACTTTTTTTACATTTTATTCATGATAATTCTGATTTCAAATTCTAATTAAAAATAATGAGACCTTTCACTTAATATCAAAGTTTCTATATATGATATTTGACTATTTGCTATGAGATACACATACGTATTTATAAGACTCTCATAATAATTTGAAATTATGAAGGAACATCTCAGAACGTTGATTTATCTTAGTAATTTAGATAGTATTCATACCTTCAATCATTTGTCTAGTGTGTCCTTATGCTAATGAATTAGGATGAATAAACACTTTTCTAGAACAAATGCTGGTGATATATACGCAACACTTCGAAGTTTAATTATATTTTGCATAGACTTTATTTAATCAGCAGAAATTATACAAAATAGAATAGATAGATTCCTAGACTTTGACTTTCTTTTGAGAAAAATTTATATAAAATAGAAGAATCAACCGAAATAAAGAACGAATCTTATCTCGGTCAATACTAAAATTCAGATGATACGTTTGAAAACACTGAAGATGATTACCGATTTCACAAAAAAAAAATTTTTTATAAAAATGATTTTTGTTTCTGTCATCGAAGAGATAGACGAATATACTTTATCAACATTATTTGTGAAAAATTTTTCATTCATTGCTCATAGTATAAGAGACACTCTTCATTTTAATAAAAGTATAGATTTCAATGCAATAAACATACTTGTTACTTTTGCTGTTGAAAATGCTTTGAATGTTGAGAAATATCATAATAAGATTAAATATTGATCTTAAGAAAACTTACTTGTTATCGTTATTGGTTTGGCTACGATGAATACAAAAAATTGGAAATATATACTATTTAATAAAACTTACGAATTGTTATTGCTGACGTTTCTAGTATACGAGTGAAATATAAATTATATCCTAAATACTTTTTCTTTTTTTCAAAACTATGTAAATCTACCTGTTATTAATAGATGACTCGTAGCTATAATTAAGATTAAAATTATATTTGATGCAGAACGACTTATCAAAATTTATTGCGACTTACTTGTATTTGGTATCATAGGAGAACCTGTTGTTGATATTGCTATTGGAAAAATTCATAAACAAATATGAAATTAGACAAAGATCTTTGGAGATACTTGAAATGTTTGTTGATAATAATGATGAAACTATAAAAAAAAATGATATTCTTTCTGAATTCCATTAGAATATTTCTACGTGTTACCTTTGAAAGTGGTACTTGATGGTATCGATTGAACAGATGCTAAACAAAAAAGAAACATTTATATATGTATAATGTTTAGTTGAAAATATTGGCGATTAGTAATGATGACATGAATGCGAAAGCATAATCACTCACTTGTTGAAGGTATCAAAGAAGCTAAAAATAGAACATATTGATAGTCACTTTAAATTAGAAAAAAATAAATTTACAATAGCTACTTGTTTCGGTACTAGTTGTAGTTGAATCTACAAATGAAATACAAGACATCAGATTTCAATCAACTACTTCATCATACTTGAAGGCGGATTTGTTCGCATTGTAGACACTAAAATAAATGAGAAAAAAAAAGTATCGATCATTTAATTGAAATCAAACTTTGAAATGCTTATTATTCTTACCTGTTGTTATGATTCCAGGTCGAGTTGTTGATAAATAATCTATAAGTACGAGTCTTTATAAAATCATCATAATTAAATAAAAATCTACTTGACATTGTTATGTTTCTAATATTTCTTACATAATATAATGAGTGTTCAGATTTTATTCAGTTCTCTCTCAAAGAATATGTGATTACCTGTGGTTGTCGATGATGACGATCGATTATTCTTTGAAATTGTAACAACTACAATTGGTACAACAATACTAGTGATGATCACGAGTGCACCACCAATAATCAGAAGTACTCTGATTTTAGGATTCGATAAAAATCTGGTAGCACTAGTTTTACTAAAACAGAACTAAAAGAAATTAATTACATTACAAGGTAAATTGTACTGAATAGCTGGATTCGTTTGTCCTTCGTCTGAAAGAGGTTGAACTCGGCGATTGAACCACATTTTTCTTGAATCGCTTGCAGAACTAGGGATTGTTGTTGTTGTATTTATTGGAGAATGATTTTTTATTTTCTGTTATTTATCTTTCAACAAGATAATCCGATAAGAGAATATTTTCATTTTCTAATATGCATTCTTTTAAATGTTCTTGAATGATTTAAATAATGATATCATTTAATAGTATTTTCGGCTTAATCTAAGTACTTTATCTTTTACACTTAAAGAAAATGCATTAATTATTCAAGGTATTCTAGATAAGTTAAGAAAAAACAAATAATCTCAACTTTAAAAGCCAATTGACTACAATAAAATATTTTTTCTTATCTACTTTTCAATGTTGTTCTCACACGTGACGAGAGACTAGACGATAAATAACAAAGAAAAATAAATCATATGGATTGCATTATGTTGATAGCTAACACTTCAGTTTTCAATAAGAAGTTATACGATGTCATAGGTCTTATTGATAGAAAGGCGATTATTAGTTACACTATATTGTTGTAAATATGCAGATTATATTTTAACTTGCGATACGTTTAAACTAACGAGGGAGGTACCCGAAGTGATTAATCGGTTTTGAGTTCGAACTCTGTGCATAAGGTAGATCCCAGTAAGATATGAAAAACCCCAAAAAGATAAGGGCCCATAGGCCTTTCGTTNTTCTTTAGTTATAAAATCTGAATGACGAATAATTGAACGTGCAAAAAATCTATGATCAACAGCATCATGTTGTTTATTATGAACTTTTCCTTTGCCCAAATAAATATGTGTTTTATGATTTGATGTTGGTACAAATTCTAAATCAAATGAACGTAAACGATAAACTTCAAGTTGATAAGCAAGTGCCGGTTCTAAATTTCGATAAATTTTATCTGCTTTAAACTAAAATTCAGAAAAAAAGAAAAAGAAAATCTTAATTTAAGCTAGAAAAAAAAAAGTTAAAATATCTTTTTACATTTAATCGTTTTCGATATGTATAATATACAGGAAATTGACGCTAAAAATCATTAAACATTAATTTATTATGATTATTATTATTATTTTAATCTTAATGTTTACTTTAGCTGCAAGAGAAAATGTTATTCGACGAATATTTTTTGCTTTACAAACTTCACGCTAAAATAAAAAATATTTGAAAATTTTTTTTATTCTCGTTTTCTAATAAATACAAACTTTAGATTGTACAAAATCAAGAAAAACATCTTCAAGTTTTAAATTTTGTCGAAGATTAGCATCATCTTTAATAAATACATATATTAAATTAACTGCTTCATCAATCTAATTATTAATAAATAAAATATATTATTAATTGGATTGAATTTTTAGTTTTTACTCTATTATTCTGTGTTCGTATTAAAGGACTATCACATGAACTTTGTCGACCATATGCGCGTACAGATCTACTCTCAGTAAATGATGATAAATCATCAGAATATGTTGGAGAAAATGGTGTTAATAATTCATCAAATGAACTACAATTATAATAAATTATATAGAAATTATTTTTTATTTATTTTTTTAAATAAATTAACCTTTTTGCACGTTCCCAACTATCAAAAGCAGCTAATATACCCATACGTTGAAATAAATCAGAATCCGTATTATTTAAATTTGTTAAGTCATCAGCAAAACTACTAGCTCTTGCCATATTTTCATGTTCAAATAATCTAAAATTAGTTGTATTCGAATAAAATATTTAAAATTTTTGCATTCGTACCGATTAGGATGATTAAGTGGAAGATATAATGAAAATTGAACAGCACAAGTACCATCCGAAAGAAATCGATGTTGAATACTATTCAAATCATACGATATATAAGAACGACGAACATAAACCTATAAAAAACATATATTGATTTGAAAATAAAATTAAATTAAATTTANTTATACAATATGTTTATTATATATAGATCGATATCATCATCTATATAGTCAGATCTATTTTTCGTCCTCTCTTCTCGTTCTTTTCGTGTTCTTTGTTTGTTCCCAAGCGTTTTCTGATCTACATCGTGTAAAGTGTGTACGGAATAAATCGAACTCACTTTAAGCACATAAAACAGAACTTACAGATTTACACTTTTATCGTTTATTTACATCAAATAAGAAATCATGAAAATAGAAATGAAAAATTGGTGATCAAAAGTATTGTTTTCTGGTGATCAAAAGTATCTTAGTTTTTTGGTGATCAAAAGTACTTTTTCCCTTTTCAATGTGTGATAGCCAATATGCAGAGGCATATTTTCACAAGCAAAATATCTTCTAAGGGAACTTCCAAGATCAGCTTTTGAAGAAATTTTTGGAAAAAATAAACAAGATTTTTTAGAACTGTCATAGGATTCTATTAAATTTTTGTTTACCTGAGTAGGGATGCCAGAGTGTGTTCCTTACAAATTTAAACCTGTACCAATATTTCATTTGACAAGGTTTAGAAGTACTAGGTGATTATCCCAAAGCTCTAAGACTCCTCTTTCTTTAGGTGTGACACCATTCTAAACACATGAAAACATAGTTCAATGGCTATGCAGAATGCCGCGACAAAAATTCTTCTCTTTAGAATAATGTACTTTTATTGATCATACACAATCATAATTAATATGTGTTTTCGTATGAGAAAAATACTCTTCTCACTTAAATATAATACAAAATATAAAGAAAAATAGTTTTTTTTTTTGCGTCACAAAGAGAGGTGAATTATCTAGACGATGAATGTGAGGATACTTCTGAAGCTTGTAAGACAAAACATTTGTATAGATCCAACTTTATAGAGAACATTGTGTGTTATTCATCCACACAAAAAAAAATCAATAGTGCCGATAATAATTAAAAATTTACTTGTCGAAAAAACGTCTCAAATTCATCACGATTTGTTGCTTTTCGTATTCCTTTTCCACCACCACCTTCGGATGCTTTAATCATAACTGGAAAACCAATCCGGCTAGCAATCTAAGAATTGAAAAATCAATTAATAGTTTCTCAATAATAGTAATTAGATTATCTTACTTCTACACCTTCTTTTGCATCTGTAACACAAGCTTTTTCATATAGATCCATTGGAACATGAATATTTTCATGATCTTCTTCATTCCAATCAAATTTAAGATCTAAAAATTGAAAATTAAATATTATAGAAAAATAAAATAAAATTTATACACTAACGAGATCCACTCCATGGTAATGTTGGTACATTAGCACTTTGTGCAATAATTGTCGAAGCTATTTTATCTCCTAGAGCCCACATCGCTTGTTCTGATGGACCTATTTTTAAAATAAATACATAAAAATAATAATTTTCTTGAAAACAAATATCAAAGATTTTGTACTCATTTACCAATAAATATTATTCCATGACGATGAAGTAATTCAGGTAATTTTGGATTTTCTGACGCATGACCCCATCCAGCCCAAACAGCTATAAAAAATAAAAACTAATTTTTGTTTTTCATCTTGAAAAAAGAAAACAACCCAAAACAAACCTTCAACAAGAAATCGTTTAGCAATATCAAGAATAAGTTCACAATTTGAATAATTCATATGTGATGGACCACCTTGAACATTAACATAATGATCAGCATATCGAATATATTCTATAATAAAACAAAAAGATTTTCTAAGTTAATACTATTATTTAAAAAATTCAATCTAACCAGCATTTGCTTTCATATCTTCTGGTGTAACCATAGCAACAAATTTTATTGTATGTTCCTGTCGAAACATTTCATAAGACCAACGTCGAATTGAACGCATACATTTCACAGCTGCAATGCCATTATTTGCAATAAGAATCTTAAAAAGAAAGAAATATTTTCATAGATTCAAAAAAAAGAAAAAAAACAATCAAACTTACTTTATTAATTACACGCGATCCACCTAATAGATCACAGAGTTCTTTGGGTGATGTCATATTTAATGGTCGTAAACCATTTGATCCCATTGTAAGACCAGACATTTTTCTAAATAATATTTATGTAGCTAATTTTCTATGTCTACTAAATTACCTCGTAGAACGTTTCCACATTGATCTATTATCATTATTCGATGATGTTTTTGTAGGAAGTGTTGTTCCATTTGTTGTTGAATCCATTGATGATGATGATGAATGATTATTCGAATAAGTTGAATATTCATGAAATTTATCTAATGATTCATGAGTATCATCGATATGTTGAGAATCATCAAGATGAAATTGAACTTTTGATATTTGTTGATTCCCATTTTGTAAAAATTTAGAAGGTGACTTTTGTTCTTCACTAACAGAAGTCATTAAGAAAAAAGAAGTAAATTTATTTCATAAGAAAATCAGAATATCTAGAAGCAAGCAATACAAAAAAGTTTTAAAAAGAAAACGATAAACATAAACATATTTATGCAGAAGTTCAAGCGAAATATAAAGCGACAAATCAAATGTTTATTTATATCTCTCTTCATTCATTTGCGTTCTCTTTCTACCATATTCAGAATTATAATCAAACATGGACGAAAAAGAAAGCACGCCACATACGCCTCCTAGTTGGTTTATATGACGTCAAAAAATATACAGAACACGAAATAAATATTCCATACATGTTGATCTAAGGTGCTCTAAGCTGATCAATAAGAAAGAAAATTCTTTGTTACATACAGAGCCTTGCAAAAAAAAGATCTAACATATCCAAAAATCCTAAAGTAGCGTAATCTGAAGGAAAAATGATTACTAAATAAAAACCAATACTGTATATGAAAACTTACTAAAGCTAAATAAACATATTTTATTCTCAAATCCTATCGGATTGATCTATATATATATATATATATGTTTTTTGGTTTACACTATAAACAAACAAACAGACAAATATTGCTTTATATTTTGACAAAAACAAAGACAAAACAAACAAACAAAAATTGTTAAACACAATTTTCATCATAATCAAATTGTTCTTGTTTAAAACAATTGATATTTAATTGACTAGTATCATCATCTTCATCATCATCGTTATTATCATGATCACTTTCATTTAATGATGATTGTATAATAGCCCAATCTTCAATAATATCAATATCTGATAATTGATAAAAAATAGCTAAATTATCTTTATCTATTGTTTTAATTGAACCATTAAAATAATTCATTTTTCGTTGTTTTTTATTTTCTTTTAATGATTCTGGTGAATCAAATCGTTTTTTATTTGGTGATATTAATTGTTGTTGATTTTGTGGAAACATTTCTTGTAAAATATTTGAACATACTTGTGTTTTACTTTTTAATATTTCAAGTTCATCAATTTTTCTTTGAATATCTTCATGCATATGATGATATAAGAGAAATTTATCATTTTCTAATGTTTGTTGTAAACTTAATAATTCAGCTTGATAAGAATTTTCTAATGATTCTAATTCAATATGACGTCGTTGTTTAGCTATTTCTAAACGTAATTGCATATCATCATAGAGTTTTTTTAATTCATCTTGATATTCAGGTGCTTGTTCATTTTGTATCGAAAGTAATTTATTATCAATTAATGAAACACTTTCATCATAGAGAATATTTTTTAATTGTTCAAATTGTTTTTCAACATTCATTATTTCATACATTATTTCATAACGACGTGAATCAAAATAATCAATAGTTAATATTGATGAGTCATTTGTACCGAATGTTTGAAGTATATGTTGAATATCATCAATTGAATCAAGACAATCGTCATCTCCATCATCATCATCATCAATATCATCAAGATCAGTTAAATTTGGATATTGAGGATTTGTTTGAGGTGATGAAGAAGTTCCTTGTTGAGGCGAAAGATTTGTTTGATCATCGATAGGATTCATTGTTGCTCAAGGAAATTATTCTTTTTATAATAATAAATGAATGAGTTTATTTTTTCTTGTTTGAGTACAATATAAGACACCAATCAATGAGAAGTATGAAGAGCGACATCTATTATAGAATTAGTTTTTTTGATTATTGATTTAAAACTATTTTTAAAATTTTAATTTTTTTTTATAATTCTACTTCACATTATATTCATCATTGACACATATTGACTAGGAAAACAATCAGTGAAGGTGATGTTGTGTGCGTCTATAATTTGAAACAGTACCTATTTTTTTAAAGAGAACCGAAATACATTGATGAAGGAAGTATAGATAAGAAAAGACAACAATAGAACAGAAAAAAAAGAAACATTCCGGTGCCGGGGATCGATTGAATTATTCAATTATCTCGAGAATAAGAAGAATTGCTCTATAAGAAGCAAAAAGAAATAATGGATGATTCTATTTATGAATGATATATAACCCGGGCCTAGACGGTGAGAGCGTCCAATCCTAACCACTAGACCACACCGGATTGTCATTTTTTCTTGAATATGTAATTATAAGCTTTAAAAAAAAGATACTAGTGCATGAAAACAAAATATTAGAAGGCAATGACAATCAATATATTGTTGTTCACTTGTTGTTGTATGTCTTCACGTTGCTTGTCACATGTATTTATGGCATTTAAAACAAAAAGTGCAATTGATTTATTTAAGAATTATATGATCGTATGTTTTATTTTAATATGAAGATAATTTTCAATCCAAGAATTTTTTTTTGCTTGATTCATTCATGTATGTGAAAATTCTAGTTCTTCAAAAAGACTGCCTGGAGGTTTTTAACTGTTAACACTTGTTCTATCTCTGCTTTAATACAATAGAAAAAAAAATTTACACTTGACAATCAAATTATCATTTAATCATGAGCGTAGTTATGAAAGGGATAGTTTACAATTTCTAATAATTATACGGATATATTTTTTGAATAGACTTATTTTTTTAGGTATATTCATAAAACAACTATGTCTTTTTTTTGTGCAATGATTCAGTGAAAATTTAGTAATAAATTTGTCTCTTTAAAATGTGAGCTTTCTAATCGGATGTAGGTAGAATAAATAGTTTCAAGCAATATGATTCTATCTTTGAATGAAATATTGTTCTACGATTTGATTAGTTATCCATAATCTAGAAAGCTGCTATTAGTTCACTATGGGACATAAAATGTTGATGCTTCTTTTAATTGCTTTTATTTTAGTTAATACGTCTATTTAATTGAAACGAGTTACAACTGTAGATTTTAACATATAAAGAAAGTAAGAATAACTCTGGAGGAGACTTCTGCAAATACCTTCTTCGAAACTAGACTAGTTTCCATAGAAAATTCACAAGTTTTAAATATAGTCTCTTTGAAATTTGTAACTTTTAAGATATAGATTCGTTTTCATGAATGGTGTATGCTGCATGCATCTTTGAAAAGATTTATATTTAGGAGAAAATAAGTTCAAATCTTGTGAATTTTTTCATGGAAGCTAATTTAGTTGAGTTCTCTATATGCGCAAAGCTTTAAATCAAAATTTTAAAATATGAGTTTTCTGAATACCTGGGGTCTCTAGAAAATTGACATACTAAAAATTCAGTAGCTTGTTCAAAGATTAATAGAAACTCAAATTCTTTTAGAATTTTTATTAGAACACGATGTTGCATTCATAGGCAAAACAATCATTGAAATCGAGAGGCAATAGCTGAACAGGTTCCCTCATTAGTTGAAAAGAGAATTGGGTTAACAAAAAAAAAAAAAAGGAAATCGAACAGTTGATTGAGAAACAAAATTTATCGTTGAAAATCTTTACATCAACAGTAACACCAAAATCTTCAGCTGTATGGAATAATTTTAGTTGTATTTATATAAACGGAATCAAGGAAAAACATGGTCTATGCAATCAATGTGAAGACTTGCTTATTTATATATCAAAAGTATCAATCAGTTTTATGCATCTTCAAAAATTGAACCAGTTATTTGAGATCGAGTAGCGTAAGAAATTAAAGTTGCTTGCGTTAAATGTGACGTACTTGGTTTTCGATCATTCAATATAATAAATGATATTGGTTTTAAAAATCTTGTACAAAAAAATGTTTAATAGTGGCCAATACTTACTTATCAGGAGCTACGGATCCACGTTTTTGTAGACTGGACTCATCCGGGCACGGATTTGGAAAAACCTACAACTCCCTAATTACATCAATGAACGCGAGTTATGATACGACACGAAATCACACAACTTCATCTTTCCTTGAATATGAAATAGCAATGAGCATTTTTGTAATCGTCTATTTACTAACCAGTTCACTTTGTTTTACCAGAAAAAGTCTCCAAGTCACGAATGACTTTTTATTTGGGACTATATTCAATCGATAGAGTCTAGTTAGTAAGTAAATACCTTAGAGTCGATTGAGCTGTTGGACTTTTGTTGTTGAAATATCAAGTTTTTCGTACATCTTTCCTACAGGATCCCAGTTATCATGCAAAATCATACTTTTGAATTTTGACGCAAAACTTAACTCACATTATGATTTTGACTAGACTAGCTTGTAGAAAAAGATTTTACGATGCTTTGACAATGTCTCGCCGAAATATCAATCTTTCAAGATATCCATGCTTTGCACAATAACCATGGCGAAGCGTTTATTTTTTGAAAGTTCATATTTCCGAGAGACTTTGTCAAATATTCTGGAATTTTTCTTGTATAAGCTAATCTAATTAGAGTCATTGTGTAAACAAAGTTTGATTTCGAAACTCAAAAGTATGGTTTCACTTGAAAACTGGAACTCTACAGGAAAAAACTACTAAAAATTCGATATCTCAGCAACAGAACTTCAATAGTTCGAACCACTCCTAGGATATTTACCTGCTGACAAGGTTCTATTGATTGAATATAGACCAAACTTTCAAACGATTTAGCACTTAGAGACCTACCCTCGTTAGAATTCTTCAGTTAAGACAATAACGAAAAGATCCATTCAATAGAAACATTTTCCTTTTATTAATATTATATAAGACACCGCACACTAGAAGTCATTTTCAAAGCTGATTTAAATTTATAAAGCATGATATTCCACTTTACGACGATATAATAACAAAGCAAATAAGAAAGCAAGTATTTCAATAATGCCTACAACTACAGCACCAATGATAACATATTTTTTATATGTAGATAATAAATCAATTAAACGGTCATAACATCCTGGCGAATAGGCATTTTCACTTGTTGTTGCACATGTACTAGCTTCAATCATATTTGCCGGTAAACCATTCCAATTTTTTGTTGCATTCAAAGGGCAACAAGTTAAAGGAACAGTTAAGTTTGTATTTGAATCATATGGATTTGTTCGATTCCAATGAATAGCATTTGAATAATCACTTTTATTAACTGCACCACAACATTGTAAATTAAATTGAAGAAAATCCCATGACATTGATACTGAATTAACGATTGCCGAATTATTAGTTGGTGTACCAACATAATATTTTACAATGGATTCTTGAAGTTTAATAACAAATTCGGATTTAAAACGATTTTGATAAACTACATAAAAAATAATAATTCCTATTTCAGCCAGGATTATGCCACCGATAATTATTGCATAAATAATATGTAAAAATCGAAAACCTTTTATTGCTCCACAACAGCCTAGAGAAATCAAAATAATTAATCAATTTAAATTTAATTATGTCTTTCTTTTTTTTACCGAGAAATCCAATTATTAATATAATACCACCAATAACAATGATTGCAATAGCAAATATTTCAATAGTTGATAAACTTTGAGAATTTTTTGATATTAAATCAGCATTAAGTAATGGACGAAGTTGTTGTATTTTAGGATCTTTAACAACATAAATACCAATTACAAGTAATGTTATGCCAGCAACAATAAATGCCAGATTGAAAAGAACAATAAGAAGTCGGATAAATTTCATACTTAAAGACATACTGCCATGACCTAGACCTGATGCCATTTTTTACCTTAAGGTGTAATGATATAGGTGTAAATCAGTCTAGAAAAAGAAACAAAATTAAGATGACATGATCAATTTATAAGTTATATGTGTATATGTTCTTCAGTCAGTTTATATACGTTTGTTCAGGTCAATGAAGATGCTACTACAAAAAAAAAAAGAAACAAAAACAAAAAAGCAACAAACATTTTCTTTTTCCTATTCAAATTTTTCGTATCGTTGACGTCTATTGTATTAGAAGTTGCTGAAGCATAATAAACAATATGTTGACAAGGAATAGCATTCGTTTTGCATTGATCACTATTTTTTTGACTGAATTCTTATTCAACATCTAATATCAAACAAACAACAATGTGCGTTGGTTGAATTATTCTTCTCGAGAGTAACATATGGAGAAAGTGATATGGTACATTAAATTTTTTTTTCTCAAAAGGATAATTAATAGTCAATATGAATTTCATGAATAAAAATATTATTCTTTAAAGTACGAGCGTTAACATTATGCCAGTTGTTACCATTGTTTCTATCGAAAATAAATGATACAAAGCAATGGGCATAAGAAACACAGAATAACGAGTGGATCGAAAGTTTTGAGACGGAGTATTTGTTCTTTTTTTTTACTTCCAGGATTTGAAAGAATCGAAAACTGAGTTTGGACGAAAAGTAACAGCGACGTTTCTGGTGCAAACGGTCGCTCATTTTGGTATTCTCTAAAGTATCTCAGACAATTCAAATACTATGAATGGTGATAAGAATTTGGTGTTGTTTTTGAGTATGAAATTAGAAATAGTGTATCTATTTTTATTGGGAACTAGTGAAGAGATTTCTTAAAAGCCTAAAAGATTAGATTAAATGATGAACTGATAGGTTTCTTTTCGAAAGTCCCACAAAAACGTTGGAATCGGTTATGTTGTCGAGCGGGCACTTCCTCACAAAAATTTATATTGAACTAATTTATGACTTTTACTTAACGAAGGAATCCACCTGAATGACAATCTTCGTTTGAGCCCAAATATTTGGTTCATAGGTGGGACTCATAATGTTGATAAAAATTATGAAAAGTTTTGTTCCATTATGTCTCTCTTCTTGAGTTATGATCATTTTAGTGAACTTTCAGTCTGTTGCAGGACATCACGAGAAAAATCAAAACAAGGAGTTTCGACCTGAAACTCTCCCCAACAATAGCTATGATGAACTTTACGATATCCTAAAAGTTTCAGGTCAAACCAATGTTTTTCTTATGAGATAATACGTTTGCAAAAAACGTTACTTTCGTATCAGAACTCGAAAAAAGATCTCAGCTTTTAGACTTACGATATTTTGAGAAGAAATAATCCTTTTGAGCTGAGACTTTCAGTGTACTATAGAGAACATGAGAACTATTATTGAGAGAACTTTCACGCCGAAACTCCTTGTTTCGATTTTATATTTCAGGATTTTTTATCTACACTATGAATCCCATCTATGAACAAATATGAGTTCCGTCGTAAGTGAAACTCTAGACACTTTGCGAGGAGCTTATTTTTATACACAACAGATTTTCGTTAAAAAGTCTATTTTTCAAAAATGAGGGTTTAAGAGAAACGAAAATAGAAGCGACCTGTAGAAAAACAACAAAAACAACTTCAATAGTACATTTTGTAGGGTAGTTTTTGTTCCATAAACTGATATATTAAAAAAAGTGTCAATATTTACTTTCGAGTTGCCATAATAAAAGTGCATAAGACCATTCGCTGTAATTAAGTAACAAAATTAATTTCAAAAATTGTTAGATAAGAGCTTAGAATATATATTGACAGATACTTTTACAATAATAGATCATGTTCAAAAGGATAGACAATTTCAATGTCTCCAACTAATGTAGAATTTTATTTTTTATCAGATGAAATTGTCTAAATTTATTTAATGTTGTATATCTGTAAAAGCCACGAACATCTATATCTGTTACCAGTGAGTAGACCGACTCGACTTAAGTACATACCCAAAATAGATGGTATTCGAATTTCGCTCGAATACGAAATGCGATGCGAAACACATGGAGTTTCGAAAAAAAACGTTTTTTTCGAATATACAATAAATCGATTTTCTCCTAAATGCGTTTAACCTTCTTGAAATCTAGTATTCTCTTATCGCTATTAAACCCTAAAATGTTAGCCTTCTATCAATCAGCTGTTGTAATTCAGATATAATGTCGAATGCGGACATAGTAAAACTCAGTATTAGGACGACTCTATAATCTCATATCGATTCACTTGAAAAGAACTAGTTCGATTTATCTTTTAAGTATCTCTATGATTCATTATTAATAATCATTTTCATTAACAGATATCGACTACATTGGAAGTAGAGTTATGGCTAACATTTCATGATTATTTCATTGCTACTATTTTCAATATGAGTATTTTTAAACTCGTCTCTTTTGAAAATGATTTATAACGAAAGAGAATCCCATAAAGATGATTAGAAGAGGATGCTATGAATATCTCGAAATGAATAAAGTTCTAAGTCCTGAAAAATTTGTCTTTTTTGAACGCTATTTATGTGTGAACGAGACACCACAACGAGACTGCTTCGTATCTTAATAAATAAAACTCGCAACGAACCACTATATAGGTGCTTCACACCGCATTAGATACTAGGCTTTTATTTGGTAGTTTTAGAAAAAGTAGAAGAGATAGATTTTCTTAATTGCAAGCCTTATAATAGAATATTGTATATAGCTCGTATGAACATGTCCAATCGATTGCTAATATCAGTTTCCGTGGAAGTCAGGGTAGAGTGTCATATACACTGACATTCATATGGCATTCTCTTCTTCTTTAGCTGCTAATGTGTTTCTTTACGTTCTGTCTATCGATCGTTGCTTTTCTGTACTGATATCTGTGCTACATTTCTCCTCTTCCTATCTCTTTCGTGAACAATGACTCTCACATAGTTGTCTGAGATCATGCTGTTTTTTGATAGAAAAATACGATACAATGCTGATGCTAGCATATCTGACACACTGTATTGTTTAATACGACTATTGATAATAGAGATCGATTAGACATATTCACACGAACTATATGCAAAATTCAATTATACGAATGAAAATTAAGAAAATACATCCTGTGTATTTTTCTAAAGCTAGCATATAAAAGTCTAATATCTTGAGTATGTGACTAAATCGAGTCGGTCTACTCACTGATAAAAGTATCGGTGTTCGTAAAATCAGCTTGATGAACTCAAGCTACTCGTGGTATTAGTTCCTGATGTGGGAATATTAATCGGGTCTTTTACAAGTACCCTCTGATGTTCATCAAGTATCAAATAACGTTTTACATTTTCCAATAGATCACAATAATACTAATAACTATTCTGAATATTGCATTGTCCATTATTAGTTGGCTTGTTAAAGTTTCGATGTTTGAATGTTACATAGAAATTTCGATATGTATTTGGTTAAACTATGTATTTTAGCTGTAGAACTCTATTATTGATTGATTTCGATTATCTTTTACATAGGCGTATCTATTTTATTGAGTTTTAGATTATACTTACCTTTTTTGTCAATTGAAACAGTTCGATCAATATTGTCTAAAACACTAAAAAAACATTTGTCAACTTTGAAGAAAGAAAACTATTAGGATGATCATTGTATTTTCAAAAGAATGTCACAAATACATGTAGGATTTAATAATATAGAATAAAAGTGAATCATTTTCATATTTTACATAAAATTACATTTTCTGATTTTATTTGTGCATCAAATACAATTGACTACTGGTGTCATGTATCTTAATGTCGGTTTCGTGTTATTAATTATGTGTATGCTTATTTCAGTTGTCAAAGGACAGAAATGGACAGGTACTTTCGCATGGAATGATCAATGCAACTCAAAATATTGCTGCTGTTATGCTGGTAAATTAACTGTCAGTGCTTCTGGTTCCAATCTTATGTTTACATCGGGTACAAAAGGATGTCCATCATCCACATCTTCATCTACATTTTCAAATCCAAATGGTTATTCATTTTCTACAATAGGAGCAAGAGGTGCACAAATTACTTATATGCTTAGCTCGGATAGTAATACAATAACGGCTAAAAATGCTGGATATAGCTATTGTGAAGGTAGTGCTCGCCGTACTTCAGCGGGAACACGTTCATATCCATTGATTATTTCATTTATAATTCTTTGTGCTGCCATACAAATCGTGCTTTGAATTAATTTTTAATAAACAACGCAGTACTATTAAGTCTTAACTTACTCATTTATTCTTGTAAAAAATTGTAAAGAAACATGTTTTACATTTGATAAATCAATTAAATGAAATTAATTTTAGTTTATATAAAAGTTTGAAGCATTCAATAATAATTATAAGAACTTAAATATTGTGATAGATAATCATATGACCTAATTATAGACATTTAGACCTTAAAAAGAAAAATATCTTTTATGTGTAACCGATAGATAAATAAACAGTATTATACAATATATGTATCCCATGCCATGAAAATCATGGTGATTTTCAAAAAAAAGTCAGCGTAAAATTGTGATTATAGCGCAAGAAGCGATTTTCTCAAGAATTGACGTTAAATCTGATTTAATCATTGATTTCAGTAATTGATTGCAAATTGTCAATTAATTATAGAGAACTGTTTTCAAGCTTGGAAAATTGAGAGTCACATACAATTTCTGTACATTTTTTCAAAAATTTAATCATTGGGATATGAAATTACAAGAGAAATTTAATCTCGGCATGGATGTTACTACTATGACATTAACAAGATTAGACAATTTATAGAAAATGATCGAACTGAACTTCACATTCATTTACATCAAAAAGATCTTTTTTGAGTAATATAGATTTTAATTTTTATTAAATGTTTTATTCATGTAGCATAATATGATCAGTTAATTTTTGAATAAAAATATTCATCATCATAAATTAATAAGAAAAACTTATTAGTATAACATTAGAAATCGAAGTTACATGAACAACATCCTTTATATTATGCAATATAACGAAAGATAATCATCGATCACAAAAATCGTCAGAATCATCGGAAAAAGCCATTGTTTTATTGTGCTCCAACTCACAGCTAATCGCCAAGTTTTTAGCAATTTCAAGGACATGGGATTGCACCAACACACTTATTTTCGACATCTATGATCGTTTAACTCAATGCTGTCACTTCTATATGTTTCATGTTGAATGAGAACGATTTTGAGATTGTTTATTCAGTGACTTGATTTGAAATATGTGTTTCTGAATTTAATCGAAACAAAAAAAAGAAAGACAACTATTGAATATAGCGACATCTGATATCATACTGCTAGGTTTCGCTTTATTCGTGTCCTACAGTAATCAAATTGCTGATTTTTTTGAAAAATATTTTAATGTCATGTGCTATTCTTTATGGTTCTTAAGGTGGTCTAGTACAAATATGATAAAATAAAATAAAAACGTAAGATCGTAATGGCAAACGAACGTGTACAAATTGGAAGTTTACAAATTGCTAAAATTCTTTTTGATTTTGTTAATCAAGAAGTTCTACCAGATACAAATATTAATCAAGATACATTCTGGTCTGGTGTTGAATCAATAATCATTGAGTTATCACCTGAAAATCGTAGACTTTTACAAAAACGAGATTATCTACAAGCTAAAATTGATGAATGGCATCGTACATATCAAGGCAAACATACAGATATTGCTGCTTATAAAGCATTTTTATTTGATATTGGTTATTTATTACCACGAAATAATGATGAAAATTTTCAAATTAATACAACAAATGTTGATGATGAAATTGCTATTCAAGCTGCACCACAACTTGTTGTTCCATTAATGAATGCTCGATTTGTACTCAATGCCACAAATGCACGATGGGGTTCACTATATGATGCTTTATATAGTACTGATATTATATCAGAAAGTAATGGGTGTGAAAGAACAAATGAGTACAATAAAAAACGAGCTGAAAAAGTAATTGCTTTGACAAAACACTTTCTTGATCAATCTATTCCATTGGCTAATAATTTCTCACATGTTGATGCCATGAAATATAGTATTGAAGATAGTGAACTTAAAGTAAGAAATTAACTTACGAGGAAATCTCTCCCAAATGTTAAATCGTTTCTTTTTAACTGAGACGATGTTCATGTGATAAGTACTAATGAATAATAGGTAAGTCTAGAATGGTTTGACTTTCTGGACTTTTGCTTTCGAGATATCGACATGTTGCTGAGTTTTTCGTCGACCTCAAATCACGTGGAAAATTAACTTTCGACTTGAAACTTCAGACGAATTAAGTTCTCAACGAGATCAATTGATCATGCAACTAGTATGTCGTTGCTGAAGATGTAAAGAACGGATATAACATAAGTCTATCGACATTTTGTTGCTCTGCATGTAGTTCTGTTCAGGAATATAATAAAACGTTGATTGTTTATAGCTATTCTCGAGATTTTAATAGATTGTTAACAACGAATAAATGTACCATCGTGTTATTTCCCACGAGAAAAAATGGTCTGTCTCAGGTACTGTAGAAAACCAAAACGTTCATCATTCTATCAATACTTTCTACGAGATAAGTACTGATTTCTCCTTAACGTACTTTCATCATCTTCAGTTGAAGTCAAGTTCTCATTGCATTATTCTGTTAAGATTAATTCTTTTTTACTATTTCTTTCAGCAGTCGAACAAGTTAATCAAGTAATTTGCGCATCTATCTGAATAGTTTTAGACAATGTATTTGAAGGCAACACAACAGAAAAATATTTTATCTTAGGGTGAAGCATTCAGATTCATTGACACAGACGTTATTTTTCACTTGTATATTTGAGATGAGAATGAGTAATAGTCTTCATGCTTTGAAGGTCACATTAGGTCTCTGATTGATTTCCAACGTTTTAACTAAAAAGAACGAACAATAATTATAGAAATTAAACTTCAACAATTTTCAACTTTCTTTTACTTTTCCTTGTAAGAAATAACACGTAGAACATTCAATGGTGCATCTTTTGAAAAGAAAAGATCAATGTTTTGTCATGTTCCTGAATTGAGTTACTACCATAGTGAGAAATGTAGAAAAACTTTTCTCATACCCGTTAGTTACATCTTCAGAAAGGAAATACTAGTTCCATAATGAACTAGTCTCATTGAGAACTCTATTCGTGCAAAGTTTTAAGTCAAAAATTCCCTATTAATCACTAGTATACATCAAATGAAAATCGTCTTGATCGAAAAGCGATTTGACACGTGAAATAGATTTCTCCTTAGATAAAATGAAAAATAAATAATTTCTTGTAAATAGATTACTTTACAAAATGGAACTATTACTCATCTTCAATTTCCTGATCAATTTGTTGGATATCAAGGTGAAGTACATATGCCTAATGCTATTGTTTTTGTACATCATGGTCTTCATATTGAAATTCAAATTGATCGAAATAATAGTCAAAACGATATTGCAGGAATTAAAAATATTCTAATTGAATCAGCATTAACAACTATTATAGATTGTGAAGATTCAGTTGTAGCAGTTGATGTTTATGATAAAGTGCAATTATATCGTAATTGGCTTGGTTTAATGAAAGGCAATTTAGAAGTTCAATTTATGAAAGAAAAAAAATCAATAAGTCGAAAATTAAATTCCGATCGAATTTATATTTCAAAAACTGGTCGTGAATTATATTTATCTGGTAGATCTCTTCTTTTTATTCGTCATGTTGGTCATTTATTATATACTGATGCTATTTTAAACAAAGATAATCAAGAAATTCCTGAAGGAATTCTTGATGCTCTTATTACAACTTTAATCGCTTTACATGATCTTAATAAAAAAGGAAAAGAGAAAATTAAAAATAGTCGTAAAGGTTCAATTTATGTTGTTAAACCCAAACAACATGGTCCAGAAGAAATAGCTTTTACTTCAAATCTATTTAATCGTGTTGAAGATCTTCTTAAATTACCTCGATATACACTTAAAATAGGTATTATGGATGAAGAACGTCGTACAACAGTTAATCTTACCGCATGTATTAAAGAAGTTAAAGATCGACTTGTATTTATTAATACAGGATTTCTTGATCGAACTGGTGATGAAATTCACACATCAATGGAAGCTGGTCCATTAGTATGTAAAAGTGAAATGAAAGAAGCAAAATGGTTGATTGCTTATGAAAAAAATAATGTTGAAGTAGGATTAAAATGTGGCCTATCAGGAAAAGCACAAATTGGCAAAGGAATGTGGGCTTTGCCGGATATGATGGCATCAATGATTCAACAGAAAATTGCTCATCTCAAAGCAGGAGCAACTTGTGCATGGGTACCATCACCAACAGCTGCTACTCTTCATGCTTTACATTATCATCAAATTGATGTTTTTGCTCGTCAACATGAATTAATATCTTCATCTTCATTATCCAATGATTATTTAGATGATTTATTAACAATTCCAATTCTTACTACGACTTTAACATCGGAAGAAATTCAACGTGAATTAGATAGTAATGCACAAAGTATACTTGGTTATGTTGTTCGTTGGATTGATCAAGGTATAGGTTGTTCCAAAGTACCAGATATAAATGATATTGGTTTGATGGAAGATCGAGCAACATTACGGATTTCAAGTCAACTTATGGCTAATTGGTTACGACATGGAATTATTACTAAACAACAAGTGATACAAACGCTTCAACGAATAACTCAAGTTGTCGATCAACAAAATATAGATGTTTTAGAATATCGACCTATAGCATCTAATTTTGATCAGAATATTGCTTTTCAAGCTACACTTGAACTTATATTTGATGGTGATAAACAACCGAATGGATATACTGAAATTATTTTACACCGTCGACGACGAGAATTCAAAGCTAAACAACAATAAAATAGTATATGCTACTGATTTTGATTCAGAAGTTTCACTATTATGTATTATAAAATTTCTCTTGCCATAAGTTTATTTTAATTATTTTTCTAAATTATTCTGTTTTGTATTAAAAGACTGTTCTAAATTTTAATTGTATAGATTATTAATTTTTTTTGTCTATATTTTTGAATCAAAAGAAAGTTTTTTGAAACGTTTTTTTTTTTTAAACAATGTAATTATGATTGATAATCCAGAATCATTTGTTCATGTTCTTGAAAAAAATGTTCATCACAATTATTACCTGAACCTTCACGATCTACAACAAGAAGATCATCATCTTCATTGCCAAGTGCTAATATAGGATGATGCCAAGTTCCACGACTATAATTTACTCCTTGTTTACCGTTGGTTATAAAAGCACGTATAAGGTCAAGTTGAGGTTTATCATTATTGATAGAGTTATCTGTTGGTGGAGCAACAACGACCAGAAATGGTCGACCAAGTAATGGTACAAAAGCTTGACTACCAAGTGGATGTCGTTCAAGCATACGAATTGTCAACGGCATTTTTGTTACTTGAGCTCGAAAAATACTAATGATAGCTCGATCACCATCAGCTGGATATGCTGTTTCTACTTGAGCAAGACTATGATAACGACGAGTTGAACCATTGTTAATTATTCTAAAAGGACGTTGATCGGTTTCAATAACATCACCAAATGGAATAAATGCTTCATGAGTTAATGGTTCGATATTTAATTTTCGTAAAGTCATATTTAATACTGCGTTATGAATGTATATTAAATGATTGAAGTAATACGAAATAGAATGATAATAGATAAGAGTAGTGTTTGCGCTTTGTTCTCTTTGGACAGAAAGAGAGAGAGAGAGAGAGAGAGAGTAAGAAGGCAAGTTGTAAATGTACTTGTTTTTTTTTTAATATTTATGTTGCCTTTTTGATTGACTGGTTTATAAGTATAACTTTATCGATTGTAAACATCAAATACCAGTGTCTTTATTGAACTAAAACTGTTTGCTATGATAATAGAGATAATTGGTGTCGACATTGCATATGTTAGTTGAGGTCTAATTATAGTTTGAATCAATCTACACAAATTAATGTTACCTCCTCAAGAGATGCCGCTATTTATCAATGTATTGCAGATATAGATAATGGTATATTGCTGTTTTCACTCATTTTTTTAAAAAGATTCTTTCGTTTTTCATTACAAAGAGTTTATTAATAAATTTAAATAACGAGAAAAGAAGAACCGAACTATTTTTCTTATTGATACATTTCTACTTTAAAGAAATAAATATATAGAAGTCGTCAAGTTTCTTCGATTGGTACTGTCATTAGCATTTTAGTTTTTATTATGTCTAATGATCTTTTATATTATAGAAGAAATGGATGGTTTGGTGTATGTTTTTTCAGTTTCGATTTGAACTGTATGCTCAAAATATTCAATAGCTAATTTTTTTTCCAAAAATTCATTCAATACCTCAATATTAAAGTAAATTTGATAAATCAAGTTGATCGTAAAATGCGACAGTTGAACTCTAATAATACATAGCTGTGCTTCTATTTTTTCAATGATGCATCATAAAGATAATGATTATTGGTCGAATATAGAATGATTGTGTTCGCTGCGATATTGAAATAATTAAATATTCCATTGGAACGGCCAAACCAAGTATAAACAATATCATATAATTATTATAAAGGAAAGATATTAACTTATAATATGCCAATGAACATGGTTCATCTGATCCTCATACGTAAAACATCTGGTAATCCAATTCTCAGAATTTATTATTCTAATCTTTCTCAGGCATCTCTTTCTGACAGTTTGTTGTTTCCTAATCTATTTTATGTATATAGAGCAGAGTTGTACTAAACTATGCAGCAACAGTCAATAGGTGATCATTAGGTAAGTATTTAAGTTCTACACAAAGTACTTAATCAGAATGAATCAATACTCCGTGAAATTTACTTCGAAATAAATGGATCTCCACAAGTATTGTTGCTATCAGTGATTGTGATTATGTTAAATACTTATACTGAATATCAAGAATAATTCGTTCTGTTTCCACAACCAACTCAAGATCATCATGCGATTCAACAGTCATCAAATCATTTTGAATGATAACCCTCAGACACCAATTGGTTTGTTTCTTATTTGAAACACATGTATACATTTGCAATGTTTTTTAATAATAATCAAGTACAAAATATTTGTCAGGCTTGAGTCGACGATGAACAAAACTTATTGAGATTATGCTGTAATCGACTTTTAAGTGACTGCGACGTGAGCTACATACGAGCCCATATTCAGTTTTTTTCTCGGCAAAGTTATTTTAGAGTAACTACGTATGTAAAATTTGTAGTGAATCATGAGTAAATGACATTCATGAAGAACTTAATTGAAGACATACAATAATAAAAAGCTATCCATCTATCTTGGAATATATTTCTTTTTCATTCTTTTATTTAATCGTCTAGAAATTCGATAAAAAATAGTTCATATATTAGAACGAGTCGTTATTGATATAAGATCTTTGATCGTATATCAACAGCGTCTAGTCACGATTTGTGAAGAACAGGACTTGAGTCCAAATATTTACCTCTATATTTCAACATTCCTGTTAGATCGTGTTTCACAACAGACAAAGAAATCTTTTTTTTACGATTAAACAGGACTCGAATTAATTATAGAAAAACTCGATTGATTTATTAATATTTGACGAAATTTATGAAAAAAATATTTATTTCTAGAAAAATTCTAAGCAAGTTTTGGATCAATGTAGAATGAAACTGGTGAATATTTATGTGAATTAAAAGTATAATAAAACTATTCTTATCGCGTTGTGCTTGATTTATTCATGGTTAAAAATGAAATAACTAGACAACAACATTACATCCATTCAATAACATGTTAATATTGTTTCCTAAATACAATTCTCGAAAGTAAAGTATCACAACAGTAGAAAACACAATAGAAGTTATTACTTAATCAATCTCTAATCTTTTATATTTAAAATATCAATGAATTTTTTACGAAATAAATCAGAATCATGTATTCCTATATTTTCATCGAAAGTTGCTTCAAAATTATGTCATCCGAAATAACATAGTTTACTAACAAATAAAAGCACATAATTATCCATATTATATACTATTTAGTTTCTGAAAAATCATACTAGCATCAAAAGACAAGTAAGAAAAACATGAAACAGTATTATCGAATCCTGTATCAGAGATGTGTACTGCGCCTAATAACCAAGACAAAGCGATTGATGTAATCACTGCCTATAGCCTTCTTAACCAGAGGTGCGACTGCATCTAATGGTAACTGAAAACATTTTATTTTTCGAAAGTTTTTCCTCATATTAATTGCTCTAGAATATTTGTTAAAAAATAGTGCTTCAATGCTGAGCACTTACCTAAGAACAACAAAATAAAGTTAGAAATATCACGAAAAAAAATATTTAATTAGACAAGATGTAATCGAACATATGTGGCTTTGTATAGAGTGTTCGTTTTTGTTTTAATTTATTTTGTAGTTAAATTTGTGTACATTTATGTTTAGGGTGAATTTAAGTATTATGCTCCTCACAATGAAATTTACGAATTTTTCAGTTAGATCGATTTGTTAACAGGATAATTGTTAATCAACATTGATTACAGCTTAGTTTATAAATTTAACAAATGAATATAAAATGAGGTAATAAAACAAATGGTATCTCAAAAAGCGAATGAGTCTGTCAACAATTAATTTCCTTCTCTTTACTTTGCAGCATTTTATGTATATTCTTTTTTCAAAATTTCTAGCAATAGAGTTTCACAATTGGTATAATTAAGGGGACAGTTGCCTAAAAATGAACCGTAATTGCTGCTAGGGTGTGGAATATCCGTGTCCCACCCTCCATCTATACACGGTTGGTTCACGTCTCTGTCATGCACAGTTGCTTGATGTATAGATTTGCGATTGCATGAGAAGAAAAGATAAAAGACGCTTCTTTTCTCGTGTTTTGATTGTGTACCCATGATCTACATCATCATTAGTCATTACAAGTACCTATCTTTCTTCTAATATTAAAAAAGCTTTCAATATTAGAATGTCCATATGAAAATGAGTAAATGCTAAACATTATAACATTCATTTTCGATTAAAAATTGAGATGATATTTCATTCTTGTTGTTGTAGAATCGGACTGGACATTCGCGTCTTATAAAAACAATATAAATTTTGTTTCTCAACTATAATTTTGAATCGAAAATACAGAAATAAAAAATTGTGTATCATCATTTGTTTATTCATATTCTAGTTTGTTCTAGATAGGCCTATGAACTTCGAACATGATAACAGTGAAACAAAACTCGTCATTTTTTCTTTGTCCTTCGATACTGTTGATGATGAATCAGTGTTATCTATATTCGTATTTCTCTTCATGCTTGTATCAAGTGGACTGGACACGATATAAGTGATGCTAAGTCAATAATATTTCTTCGTTTTTTTGCAGTATTTCTTATCATATCATAGCTATTCATATTACATTTATAAACTAAGAGAACACGACTACTTTTCTTCTTCACTTAAAGTTTTTTTTTCTTAACATCTCACAAGAATAATAAGCAATATACGATGCCCAAAACACTAACATGTGGTGTGGAATTTATGCGAGGAGCATTACTTTTCCTCAATGCATTGTTTGTAATTTTTGCTCTTGCCCTTCTTGGTATTGGTATATACATCAAAGTGGACACTAATTTTGCATCGATTCTCAGCAAGCTGGCTACTGACGGCAGTTTCGAAGTAAAAACTCTTGGATTTTTAGCTTTCGTTATGATTGGTGGTGGAGTTTTTACTCTTATCATTGCACTGTTAGGTTGTATAGGTAAGTCTTTTGTTGAGTTCATAAATAGAACTTCATATTTATGTTATCTCTTAAAATAGGAGCATTGTGGAATAATCGATGTTTATTATATTTGTATTCTGTAATTCTTATCATTTTAATGATCATCGAATTAGTTGCTTTTATTTTGGCTTTGGTTTACAAAGGAAAACTTCAAAGCCTTTTTGAACAACCTTTATATGATATCTTAGAGACTGCTTTGACCAAAAAGGATAACACTACAATACTAGCTTTCCATGACTTGGAAGATGCAATGAAATGCTGTGGTGTCCATAATTCATCGGACTATGCTAGCCACCCTGAGTATGGTAATTCTAAACAGTGCCAGACAGATAAAAATTCGAAAGGTTGTTCTCAAGCTATTATCGATTTGTTCACTAAGAATTTACCAATAGTTGGTGGCACATTAGGTGGTATTTTAATAATTGAACTTATTGGTTTGATTGGTGCTTGTATATTGGCTAGAGTACTCAAAGAATCACCTGATGCCCGCTATTCATCAACTCCAGGAGGATGGGGAAAACTTACTCGTCGAAATTAATAAAATAAACTTTTCATGAATAAAATAAAACGTATATTTTTTGACTTTCAATTTTTATTTTTATTTTTTTGTTCTATCAATTATGAATAACAGGAAAAACAAAAACATTTTGTCATTGAATTCGTTGAGTAAATAAACAAAACGTGAAAAACATAGATAACAAAAAGATAAAATGAAGTTATTATCATTGATGCATATATATATATATATTTCACAAAATCAGGACGACTATCATTTTTTTCGTTCATTGTGTACAAAAAATATTTTGATATTTGCACTTATTTTTGACGTTTAGTTATACCTTCTTTTAATTGTTGATATAGTACATAACGATCTTTACCAATCACAGAGCTCTAAAGAATAACAATAAAACTTCTAAAAAGAAAAAATAATAGAAATTAATTGAATGTACCGTATACAAATCAAGTCCATTCATATCTGCTCGTAAATTGGTTACAGGATTTCGAAAAAGAAGACGACAACTAACGGGCAATTCGTGACCATTCGAAATTGATTCATTCTATAGAACAAAAAAGAAAAGAAAAGCTTTGAATTGTTCATCAAAATCAAATTAAAAGTAATAAGTTCTACAGATGAAAATTTACAGAATGATGTTGATTCGATATATATATACTCATGTACAATCAATTCATTTTTAGACAAAGGTTTTAAAATCATCTTGATCGTTTAAATTCTATTGAACATGATGAATATGCATAGCGATAGACGATAAGAAGCAAAGGTGGAACAGGTACCGATCGTCAACACATCAGACAGGCTCCATCTTTGATTTGTGTCATCAATTTTAAACTAAACAGTCATTACAGAGATATAGATTGATCATCGAACCAAACAATAAAATGACATTCTTAGGATAATATGTAGTCAAACAGGATCAAATCCATTCATTTAACAACAATTGATCTCAGGAATAAGTCGGAAACGTCTAACAATTAAACTACTTTCATCAGAAAAAGATATAGCAGGCTTTTTTTAAACTAAAACATGAAAAAAGAGATAATGAATAGAGTGAAGACATCGAATTCAATTCATCAATATTCTATTGTACTGTTGTTTTTTTGATGGAACATTGCATATTAATAAACTGATCAATTGTCTACAGGTCGGCATTTACCAGTCAGACCGGTATACTAGCAGGTTCGATCTAGAACCCATAGGATTGGTCTCGGACTTGAATCTGACTAGGTCCGAATTTGAAAATGTTGGACGTGATTGATTCAAGTCGTCTGAGAAATGTTTAGAGTATGCTAGTCACAGAATACAAAAAAACTAGACAACGGCATTTCATACCGTTGGAGCGAGTATCCAATTTCAATTAGAAAATTTCATTGAAAGTATCAAAGTATGGTTCGACAGAGTTCGAATCCAAGCCCAGCAATTTTGAACCCGCCAGAATCTAGTACGGTTTGACCTGTTCAAACCAGTACCGATACCAATCGTCAAAATACAAGATTGGTTCCATCTTTGACAAGAACTAGGTTTAGAGTAAGCAAGCTGCAAATTCGAGTCCATAGCTAAGATAAACTGTCTATCCTATTTAGATTTAATTCTAACAACGGAAAAATATATTAGAAACAATGCCTTGAAATAAAATTAATTACACATAAGTAAGTAAAGCTATCGTTTCAAATAGTGGATTAGGTTTTCTGAATTAAGGTAAAAATGAAAAAGTTTTATCTTACCATCGGTGGCAAATGCATTCCGAGACTAAAACTGTATTCATTAAGATCGTCAACAAAAGCTAAAAAATAAAAATTTTTAATTCTATATATAAATAAATCTTCGTCTTACTTCGAAAAACTAAATGTAATGCTTTATAAAAATCTTTTTCCAGTTTTTCACCAACAATCATTATTTCAAGATCTTTAATGGGTGTCTAAAAAATAAAAATAAAAATACGTTTTCATAGTAGAAAATAAAAAAAGCAACAAAACAAATCAACTAACAAGATGAGCAATTAGATAAACATTTCCAATTGGTATTGTTAAACCTAATGCTTGATGAATATATAGATAATCATTAAAGTAATTTCTTCCATTATTTATTTGTGCATAAAGACGAGCACCATGTCGTATTCGTTCAATATTTCCATAATAAATATCAAAACCTAAACTAACTTGAAGATGTGTATGCATTTGTGATGCACCACTTTTAGGCATTGCATCCCAAATCATTTCTGGACAAGTATATGTCGGTTCAATTGAATAAGCTTTTTGAAACCATACTTTTGCTAATTCAAACATATCACCAATTTCATCTTCTGTTAGATGTAATGTATCATGATTACGTGACACAATTAATGTATGCCAACGATCATATTTAAAGGTGTTTGCTGCAGTATATGAAAGAATACGTTCGAGACGTCCAAATGAATCTTCAGCTGTTGAATTAAGATAATTTTTTCCACAAAAATCACAGTTTTTCTTGCTTTCTTCCATCAATTTTGATGTACTATTTAAAAAAAAATATAAGAGAAAATTAAGAAGAGTATTTTGTTTTTTTTTTGTAAATAATCAGAATATATATCGAACAGGCAAGAATTTAGCGACATGCAAGAAGTAGCAATAAAAGCACATATGTCAGCATACAATCTCGAATCAAGGAAAAATTAAATTATGAGTTGAGATTTTCTATTCATAAACTACGAATGGAACATGTGATTTCTATTGAGCAATAAAAATACAAGTGAAATTATTGATTTCAAGATTTGAGAAATCAAATCAAAGTTCTATAATGCTTTTGATGTAATTAGTACTCATTTATAGACCGATATAGTCTATAGTAAGTGCTAACAATTAATAGAATTACTATTTAGTCTGTATAATTATTATTGAAACATTCTAGAACGACATCAGTGATTTTCATCATCCTAGTTTTCAGGTCGAATAAAAACTTAAAATTTCAAAGTCTTATATGACATTCTTTATTCTGAGAAAATGAACTTATTATTATATTGATTTTATCGTGAAAGTCTAAATTGTACAGAAAAGTGGCCACGAAAAAAACCAAGAAAAAAGTCTATCAATTAGTATGATATTCATTTTTTTAATTGATTTCACACCATATATCATATATTAAGATCTACACATGTGTCGAACCAATTTATCACATCAATAATTACCTACAATGATCAACTCATCTCAATAGCATACGTTACTCAATGTTTAAGACAAAACTAAAAAGTTTAAGACTGATCTAATAAACCCCTTCCCGCATTAGAAGACCCCTGATCTTCTATTATGTCTCGTCGTAAAAATTTCTCAGAGCGGTCTTCTATTATGTCCTAGGTTTTTTTACCAATTATTAACTGAAAGTAGTTTTCCAGAAATCCCAGGCGATTTTCAGGATTCTTATAGGAATTTTCACGGTTTTGAGGGTCGACGGATACATTTGGACTCATTTTCTAAATATTACCAGCTGAAGAAGCTAAAAACTGTGCATTTCTGGACGAAAATGCCCTAATTAAAGTTCTTAATTAGCAAATAATTAATTAATTAAAGGGAGGTCTTCTAATAAGTCCGATGAACTTTTTGTCCAGGAGGGTCTTCTAATACGGGGAGGAGTTTACTTTATATAGATAAATCATCAAAATGGTTGAAGCCTGAACGGGTCTTGAAAGATTGTATGAAGTTTACGAGGGAACATTTCTAAGTACTAAGTCACTTTTGAGTCGGAACTATTTGCATTATGTAGCTTCTAATGAGCTATGAATATCCTGACACGAGTTCGTGATAATAGCTTATTACTGCCGAGATACTGTATTTTTACCGTATTTTTTAACAGCATGTCGTGGTTCTGCTCAGAAATACCAGGAAAACGAACTTTCAAATTTCGACTTAAAATGTTGCACATAGGCACGCTTTTATCAAGATAGTTTATTTGTGAAAGTTTCAGGTTTTTCGATTACACCTATTCTGAAATAAGAACATCGGGGTTTGCCATTATAAATAAACGGTGTGAAAAATATACTTTTACCATATTCGTATCTTAGGATAGAATAAATCGAAAAATCTGAAACTTTCACAATAAGCTGTCCTAAATGGCATTCTGCTAAGAAACACTGTAAAACTTCAGTATCTCGACAGTAATACGCTATTAGCCCAAACTTTTTTCAAGATACTCATAGGTTACTAGAAACTACGTGATGCACATAGGGTTAACTCAAAAGTGATTTGATACTTCGAAACGTTCCTTCATTAGCTTATGTATGGCATAAAAAATTGAGAGTCTATGAAGAGAAAAGAGTTTACTGAGTCAAATGAAACTGTCAAACTTCAAGAGTCTCCATTTCTTCTTCGTTAAAACTAACTTAAATTACTTCTGACTTATAGACAAGTCACTAATAAAGAAAATTCTAAGCAAATATTGAATTTGACTTCAACGTGTTTCTCTTGATACAAGTTTGATCACTGACATATGTAAATCATTTTAACTACAACATTTGATATTATCGTACTAGATTTCGGCGGATTGTTCACTTTTAGTTTGTGGACGTTGACTTCGCATGTAATTATATAGCATCTCTTCATGTGTATGTCGATTGTAAATTTTAATTATACGCTTTAAAAAATAAATATTTATATAGATATTCTTCTATTTAACATATAGAACAATATTCAAAATAAGAAATTTTATTTACTTGATTTTTTATTTGCTCAATAAGTGCGTCATTGTTATTAAAATATTGTTTCATTTTTTTTAAATAAATTGATGATAGTTTCAATGAACCATGAATTTCTTCAAGGCGAAATAATGCATCAAATTTTGTAACAAAATCTCTGTTAAACAATATAAAAATAGTCGTTTAAATATACAAAAAAAAAATTATTTGAAATAAATTTACTGGCAGATTTTATTTGGTGATAAACGAGCTTTATTTAAATATTTTGGAATATTCTCCACTGTAAACTTATGTGACTCTGCTATTTGAAAACAATTTTCTTTAAACCATATCTAAATAAGTAAATTTATTTTTAGAA